TCTGCGGTGAGTACCCACTGTGCTGGCCCCCCCAGCAGGCCTCGAAAGTGGCGACAATTTCACAGATCGCAGCCTCCAGCAGCCCTCGCAAGTGGCACAGGGATAACCAGGTAGGAAACAGGCTGACATGCAACGACGAACGAGGTAAAAGGCAGGGGGGAAGAGAGGGACGGGAAGGAAGGAGACGCGCGAGCAGTGCTCTATTCAAAACGAGAACCCAACGCAGGAGGGTTGGGAATAAAAAGTACCCCCAACATGGTCAAATAATAGTCCACAAATATTCAAAACATAGTCTGGGGACTATTTGTTGAGTATTTGTTGACCTTTTGGGGGCAGTGTTGGTGTATGTTTCATTCTTCGTCGAAAATCCCCCTGTAGGGGGACACGCCCGACCCAGGGGTAGATCAAGGGAGGGAAAACCACCCGGACACAATAATTGGCGTTTGCTAAGCGGCCCTGGGCGTTTACTACACAGCCCTGCCTTGCTCGAGTCCTTCTGTGAGTGCGTTTACGAAACTGCTTCGCGTGTCGGGATTATTTTTTACGGAGGTGGATTTTCTGCCCTCCAGTAGAAGAAGGAAACACGCCGTAAACAGGAACTTTTGGCGCTCCGCGCGGATTGCCTGGATTTGCGCTGGACCCCCCCTCCCTGGCGTGCGGAGCGCTAGAGGCGCCGCCAGGGGGGCCGCGGCGCGGATCCAAGAAAACCGCGCAAAGCGCCAAAAGTTTATGTTTACGGCGTTTTTTGTTCTTCGATCTCCTGATACGTCTCCGTCTCCGTCTCCTCCTCATCATCTTCCTGCATCTAGTGGGGTAGGAAGGCATCGGATCGGACGGAAAAGGTTGACAGGGTGAACGGAGGACGGAGGGGCACGGGATTTGCGGCAGCCGCAGCTGGTTTCGGCCCCGCCGCCGGTTGCTTCCCTCGATATACACTGGAGCCTCTGGCGCCGTGGAGCGCCAGGAAAGCAGCCACGTGGGGAGGTTCGCTAATCCCTCAGTGCTATCCCCCACGTTCGTCCGACCCGAAGGAAGGGAGGGAGGGAGGAGGGCATGCACAGGTGCCCATCACTCTTTCCCAATCTCTTCGCTTTTCTTAGGCTTCGGCTTCCAGGAGCCGTTTCTGGCCCCCGGGGCAGGAAAGGATGGAGCCGCGACGAAGACTTGCCCAGGGAAGTGGTCGGGAGATCTGGGGCCACGGACTTTGGAGAAGGACGTGCGGAGGGGAGGTCTCGACTCGGTGCGCGGCATGCGTACGAGCCTGGGCCTCGAATGGCGAGCTCTGAAGAGCGAGCGACCAACCATACCCGCTGCAGGGGCGCTCCCGCCCACCTCGTTTCTGCGGCGCCATCAGACGAACAGCTGGCCTGGGGAGAGGGGAGGGGGGAAGCCAGGAGGAGGGGAGAGCGGGGCATCAGACGAACAAAATGGGGGACTGGGAAGGGGGGGGAGGGGGCGAAGGCTGCTGCACAGAGCTGGTTTCGGCCCCTTCGCTGCGCCATCTGCGCCGGGAGGCGCTGGGAAAACCAGCTGGATGCCCCCGTTCCCGAAGCCTCCCCCTTTTGCTATCCTCCCTCCTCCCCCCTCCAATCGTCCGCCCCGAGAGGGGAGGCGTTCACGTATTGCATCCCACGCCTCTCGGGGAGGCCCTCGTCACGCCACGGCTGGATCCGCCTCGAAGTCCTGGTCAGAGCGCGCCCCAGAAGATGTTCGGGGGTTGAGGGAGGAGGAGGAGGAGGAGGAGGAGGAGGAAGAGGAGGAGGAGGAGGAGGAGGAGGAGGAGGAGGACGAGAAAGAGGAGGTGCAGGAGGAGGAGGAGGAGGAGGAGCAGGAAGTGGAGGTACGAAAAGGAGTCGGCGAATCAGGTCGTTGATAGGGAGGAGGAGAATGGATGGGTTCCCCAACACCCCCCCACTCCACCACCAGTCCTTCGCACTCACGCGACCCGATTTCAGCGAGTGTGCCAGGCCTCAGAACATGTATTGCCTTCTGGAGTGTGCGCGTCAGCAAACAAGAGCATCGCACAGGCAGTTGCCATGGTCTGAATGATCACGACCTTCGCTGGACCCTCCTAAGTGGACAGGACTGCTTCGCTCCGCTCAACAGTGCATCGCACCTCAGACCAGCCCTTGCTTGCCCGTTGCGTGCCAAACCACGGCGCCCTCAGCGACGCGCAACCCGTCGGCGGTGCTCATCGCCCGGATGCGTGACGCCGAGAAGGGGGAGGTCGTAACGCAGGCGCCTCGGCGGGGGCTGGCAGCGCCGGACGAGAGTGGTCCACGGTACAGCTTGTTGGCGCAGGTGCAGCCAGAGGTGGTATTGCCGGGCGGGCCCAGGAGAAGGATCAATCGCTCCAGACCTCTCCACAATGTCCTCAGAGCGCCCTGCGCCCGAAGCATCCTCCAGATCTGCCGGATCTCAGAGAGCCCCGATTTGTTCCGACCCGACGTTGTCCCGGTCTCGGCTTCGTCTTGTCTTGGGCCAGAGGGACCTGACTGAGTGAATGAGTTTGAGAGAGCGCGCGGTCGGGGATGTTTGGTTGGCGTTTCTTGTTCCTGGTTCTGACCCATCAAACTTCGGTGCGATGCGCATAGAAGTTACTCGTCCAGTTGTTCCCGACTTCCGCCCCGCGGAGCTAGTTTTTGTTCCAGAGTTGTCCAGCGGAGTGACACGCGATTCGCTTGAAGTGCATGGCGCGTCGCCAGGGCCGCCGCGGCGACACGCTATGCAACAGTTATTGACCGTGGCCCCAGCTCGTACGTACCTCTTTCCTGCCATACCGTCCAGAGCATCCACAGCATCGTGTGAAACACGTTGGAGCTCGCCACCGCGGCTGTTCAATAGGCATGTGGGCCAAAATCGCGTTGGCGTTCCTCAGGCCTGCAGGCAACGCCCAGCATATCTTCAAGACAAAGTTGCTCGTTTTCTTCTTCGGGGTTCTTGGACCAAGTCGTCGGCTACATGATTAGAAGGAGAGGGTGTGGGGGTGGGGCGGAGGATCGAGTTCCCAGAAGGAGCTCCATCAACCTGCCTTGCAAGCTCCCACCCGTCCCTCAGCACAGGCAGCGGTCGCCACTCAATGGGCAGCCATCGATATCCAGTGTGAACGCCACGAGCACGATTTAGGCCGCTAGCGCCAGGTGCTTCCATTACACCAGACGCGCACGGTGAATCAGGTGCGCCACGTGCGCCACATGCGCCAGTGGGAGTGGACGCACACAGCGGACGGTGTGCTGACACCCTCTGCCACCGTCCCTCGCGGGAGCCGGCCCAGGTACGTGCGGTGTGCTGGTGTGTCCGGAATTTCGCCCCGTGCCCGCATCGTGCCCACCCCGTGCTTGCTCTCGCGCTTCAGAATGCATGCGTCTTCGCCGCATAGATGGCACACCACATCTTGGCATCGTTCGACCGTGTTCATATTCTCTCGGCGAGGACCATCGAAGAACACCCTGGGTCATTTGGCAACAGCACGCGCGAAGCCGAAACATGCACGCGGGATGCACGTCCGAGCGATGGCAAGACATAGCTTGCACTCGATGCGTTGCACGACGTGTTCTGCACCCGCACAGATTGCACTCAAGAGCGTGTTCCGCATAAAGTGTTCCTCACGGATTGTACCACGTAGCGTGCACAACATAGGTTGCATTCCATCGAGTGCGCCACAGGTTGCACCACATATATTGGACCCTCTAGAGTGCGCTACAAAGGGTCACATCGAGAGCGAAATCATCCTCTGATTAGGGTCCACGCTGGTAAATATTGTGCGCACTCAGGGCTTGGGCAACTGCAGCTTCTGTGTGGCATCTTGGGAGCCTCGCAAGGGCATCTAGGAGTCCTTTGGGGGTTCTCTGGGCTCGTTCGGGGCCCGTTGAGGCCCTCCTAGGGCCACCTCGTTGTCTGTGGTTTTGTTGGAGTGCGCACAGGCGAGAAGGCCGCCAGAGACAGGAGAAGGAGGAGGAGGAGGCCTCCTACCCGCTCCCCCCCTTCAGGTGCACCTACATCATGCTTCGGCCATCCACTCTCTCTCTCTCTCTCTCTCCCTCTCCCTCTCTCTCTCTGTATATATTTCTCTCTCGTCTCGTTACCTCTTGTTTTTTTCTGTTTCTCCCCCCGACTCTTATGAGTGGGAGGGGCTCGAGGGCATCGCCGCGCCAGCGCGAACCTGTCCGCAACTTCGAGGCTTCGAGGCTTCGAGGAGGAGGAGGAGGAGGACGAGGACGAGGACGAGGAGGATGAGTAAGAAGATGAGGGAGGAGGAGAAGCAGGAGGAGGAGGAGGAATAAGAATGCGGAGCCCCACAGAGCCCCTGGAGCCCTTAGAAGCCCTGCAACGCGCCAGAATGTGGTAAGAACCCTCTCCCCCCCCGCTCCTTCCCCCCTCGTTCCCCATGCCTCGCGGGCTGGAAACATGGACACATCCACGGCCTCGTATGCTGGCCCCCAAGGCCGCGGCCCCATGGGTACGGAGTGCGTGTGTGTATATATGTTCGCGGGTGCCGCGCGCGGATCGTATCCGTGCGACCGCGTACCCACGGGACCGCGCCCCTGGAGCCCAAGCCGCGAAGTCGCGGATGCGGATGTGGCCGTCGCTCGTCAATGCCTCTCTCCCCCAGCCGGCGCCCGTCCGCCCTCGGGCGGGCGTCGGTGAGCCCCCCCCCCCCCCCCCCCGCGAAGGGCGGCTAGCCCATGGTGGGTATGGGTGGTGGGGGGGGAGGAGGGGAGAGGAGGAGGAGGATGGGGGAGGAGGAGGATGGGGGAGGAGGAGGAGGGAGGAGGAGGAGGAGGGGAGGAGGGAGGAGGAGGAGGAGGAGGAGGAGGAGGAGGAGAGGAGGAGGAGGAGGAGGAGGTGCTGGGGGAAGGGGGGGGGGAAGAGCAAAGGCAATCACTCTCCTTCCCCCCTCGCCGTCCTCCGACGGGCCGCCTGCGCACCCGCGCGAGGCCCGGCTGCCAAAGCTGAGTGCGCAGAGCTCTCCACGGCTCTGCAGCGCTGTCGACGCAGTGCTCCACTGCGATGTCCTGCCCTGCCCTGCCCTGCCCCGCCCCGCCCTGCCCTGCCCTGCCTTGCCCTGCCTTGCCTCGCCTCGCCTCGCCTCGCCTCGCCTCGCCTCGCCTCGCCTCTGCGTCCTCCTCGCCCCCATCTCCCTGCCGTGCTGCGCCCCCCCTCCTCAGGCGGGCGTCGGCGAGCCGGCGCCGCCCCCGGCGGAGAACGGCCACCCCGGGGTGGAGGCGCTGATCGCGGCGCACGGCCTGGACGCGCGCGCGGCCCTGGCCCTGCGCGCGCTGCCGCCGGAGAAGCAGGACGTGGCCGCGCAGCTGGACCTGGCCGTGGCTCGGCGCCCCGCGGGCGGACCGAACGCCCTGCGTCTGGGCCTCCTGTGGATGGGGTCCGAGTGGACGGGGTCGGAGGATCGCGCCGCATCGCCGATGCGTCGGCGATGCGGCTCGATGCGGAGCCCGATTTTCTCCACGCCGGCGTCGCCGGTACATCGCCGACGTCGACGCCTCATCGCCGATGCATCGCCGATGTATCGCCGATGTATCGGCGATGCGGCGCGGTCTTCTGACCCCATCTACTCCGACCCCATCCAGGAGGCCTCTACTTCGGCGGGCCCGCCGCAGTCGGCCACGCGGCTGCCGGCCGGCACAGCTCAGACCCCTCGCGGGTCATGAAGAATCGTGCAGTGGCGAAGCGTCTTGGCTCGCCAATAGCCCTACCAAGCAGTGTTCTAGTGCCCTGTTTTAGCACATCGGGTATATGTTCTAAGAACATGTGTTGCTTTCTTAGAGCAATTTTGGGGTTCTAAGAACATCTCGTGGTAGGGCTACAGGAATGCGGGGACGCTCGGTCCGTGATCAAAGGAAAAAAGAATGATGGTAGGCGTTTTTCCTTTTTGTTCGGCCTCCCGGGGCCCTTACCGGGCCTCGGGACCGTAAAAAGACGATTTGGGAGGAGACTCTGGTCCCGTAGAAGGGGTCGAGACCTCTTGGGGTCGACGTTACCAAACAAAAGCATGACGTCGGGGGTCTCGGAATCCACCCCTCAGAGGAGGAAGCGGTACCCGTTCCGCTCCCCTCGTCTCCTGTTGTCCCCCTTCGGGCCTTGGCTGGGCGCCCCGCGGGCTGACTGAACGTCCCAGGACCTGGCCCGGCGGAGGCGGCCACGCCTCCACCGATCCCCGACGATATGATCTGCTCAATCCCGGCGTTTTCCCTGGGTTTCGGCCTCTGCCAAACATCGAGCCCGGGACCGTACAGCATGGATCCGGGACGGGACAAAATCCCAAGGAAGCGGTCGGGGGTTGGCCCGGTGGAGTCGGCCACACGTCAGAGTGCAGAGGAACAAAGGGTGCCTTCGGGCACATCAGGAATGCGCCCTGGTGGTTCGGACGCCTCAGGAAGCGTAGCGATGTCGCTGCTCGTCCTCGAGAGCTCTCGTCACCGCAGCTGGGTTCGCCTTGAAATTCTGGTCAGAACGCCCCCGGGGAGATGTCTGGGGAGTAGCGGAATCGATTTCCCTTTGTCCCCCAAGAGCCCAGACCCCTTCTAGTTGTGAGCAAAAAAACACGACGGGATGTTTTTCCCTATCTTCGGCCTCCGGGGCCCCTTGCTGCGCCTCGGGACCGTCAGAAAACGACGCGCGCCTCCGAGGAGGACATAGAGTTCTAGTATGTCTCTGTGCGTCCCATGTTGGTCCCCGCGCGTCCGCCTTTCAGCCGCGCGCCAAGGGCCTCTTCTGCCTCAGGGTCGCTCCTGCGTGTCGCCGATCTGGGCGCGGGCGCGGGTCAGGGCGGACGTGCGTACGGCCGAGGTCGTTCGTCGGGTAGGGGGGGGGGGGGGGCGAAAGCAAGCGTTCCTCCCCCTCCTCATGCTCGTCGTCCTCTTCCTGCTTCTCGTCTCCCCGCTGTGCTGCGCAGGCACGGCACCGCAGGGTGAACATTGCGTCGTTGGCCTGGGCGCCCCGCATGGCTTGCGATGGGAAAACAGAGGGATAAGTATGCATATCCAGCCGCATGCGGCAAGTCCCGCCATCGTGCCATCCCAGCATTCTGGTTGTCGACTGTTCGAGGGGGCGCGGGAGACCCTTACGTGTGTGTCTTCAGGCTCCAGAGCCATGATGAGGATTATGAGGATGGTAGGTAAGTATGATGATAGTGATTATGATCGGTGATGATGCTGATGTTGATGATGGTGATGATGTTGATCATGATGATGACGATGCTGATGCTGCTGATGACGATGACGATGACGATGACGATGATGGTGAGGAGGAGGAGGAGGAGGAAGAGGATGCTTATGAGGATGATGCGGGTGATGCTGATGCTGATGTTGCTGATACTGCTGATGTTGCAGTTGAGGATGTTGGTCATGATTATGATAATCGTTGGTGACTAGAACGTTGCTGGTTGTAATGTTGGTGATGATGTTGCTGCTGGTGACGATGGTGGTGGTGATGATGACGATGCTGATGCCGATGACGATGATGATGGTGCCGATGACGACTGACGGTTGTGATGGTGCGGATGGTGATCATGTCGATGATTTGATGTATGTTGATGTTGGTGATGTTGATGGCGATGGTGTTGATGATGGCGACCTGATGACGCTAATGATGATGCTGATTATGATGAGGATGATGACGATGACGATGATTTTATGATGGCGATGGTGGTGATGATGATACTGTTGGTGAAGGCGGTGATGTTGATGGTGATGGTGATGGGTATTGTGACGATGCTGCTGATGACGGTTATGCTAAGTATGATTATGTGGATGGTGTTGATTATGATGATGTTGTTGTTGCTGCTGATGATGCTGAGGATGCTGATTGATGATGGTGGTGCTGATGATGATGGTGATGATGAAACTCGGTTGGGCCGTCTTGGGGCTGTCTTGGCCTCTCGTGGGGCAGTCTTTGCGGTCCCTTGGGGCCTCTTGCACCAGCTTGGGGTTTTCTTCGGCCGGTTTGGAGCCCTCTTGGCCGTCCGGTGGGTGTCTGGGGGCCCTCCTGGCGCCGTCTTGGACCGTCGAAGGGCCATCCAGCGCCGTCTTCGGTCCCATGGGAGGCCGTCTTGCGGCCGTCTGGGATGCCTCTTGGGCCATCGTAGAGACCTCTTGGACCGTCTTGGGCTGACGGCAGCCCGCAAAATCGAGAGTGCGAACCTCATCCAAACAACGATGGGAAATCAATGTTGTTGGCTTCTTCAGACCCTGTTGGAGGTTTTCTTGTGGCCCTCTTGGCTCGCGCATTATTCGCCCGCCTTGGGGCCATCCTGGGACGACTTCGAGGCATCGTGGGCCATCCTGGTCTCGTTGGTTCCCTGCACGGGCCGTCCTGGAAGCTCGGAGCGCATGTCCATCGTTTTTGTTACCGAGGGATCGCGGCCTGGGAGGTCCTGGAGCCTGTGGGAGCAGGGCCTGGGAATGCGGGAAGTGCACAATCCTCGAGCGGGAGCGCGTGGGATGATGGCTCTAGGAGGTAGCAGCAGCCATGCGGGAAGTGCGCCATCCTCGAGTGGGCGCGCATGGAATGATAGTTCAGGCATTAGCTGCCATGCGAGAAGTGCCCCATCCTCGAGCGGGCACGCGTGGAAGGGGGGCTCAGGCATTAGCTGCCATGTGGGAAGTGCGCCATCCTCGAGCGCCGAAGCGTGGAAGGGAAGCTCAGGCCTTAGCTGCCATGCGGGATGTGCGCCATCCTCGAGCGGGCCCGCGTGGAAGGGGAGCGCATGCATTAGCTGCCATGTAGGAAGTGCGCCATCCTCGAACGGGCACGGAGAAAGTGGCCACGGAGAGGAGGGGCGGTGCACGCAAGAGTCTGCGGGTAAGGGGGTGGCTCCCTCGTTTGAGTGTTTGTTTTATCTAGTTTGTTCTTACTTTAAATAAACAAAACGAAGTACCAGGCAGACCTTGGCACCCTTCCACACCTCAACGTGCACAAGGCATGGTGGCGGACAGACGTGGAGTTCTGGATTCATTCAAGGGGGGGTGGATCAGTTGGCGGGGGGAGACATGGCCTCTCATTGTGCGCAGCCGGGCTTCGCTCACAAAGGCGGCAAAGTAGCGCCTGGAGCGCACGGCTAGGCGAGGGCAAGATGAACTCGCATGGCGCGGTGTCACCGATATTGTTGCTTGGCGAGTTAACACAGGTGCCGATAAGCGCGGTCTCAAGGGAACAGCTGGGAGGTAGACGTTTCAGGCCACATGGACGACGCGCCTGGGAAAGATGTAGGGAAAGCGAGGTTGTGGCACCACGGAGGGAGACCACGGATCGGAAACTGTGTGAGAGCGCGGTGCGGTCCACCCGCAGAGTAAGGATGGGCAGCCTTCCCAAGGGTACCCTTGCCTCCTTGCCCCTTAGGCCCATCCTTCGCGGCTTTCGCTGGCCAGCCTCTGTCGCAAAACGTTCACATGGGCCTCCAAGCCCCTCGCATCCTCGCCGCGCATCCTTTCTGATACGGGGTGGCTGCATGGCCCCCCGCGCCCTCTGGCTCGAAGCAGCTCGGCCGCCAGCGCACTCCTCGACGGCGCGCGCGGCGAGCCGCCGCCGCCCGCCCCCCCCGTGCCCCGCGGAGGCGCGCCCGTGCGCGCTGCCCCCTCCCCCGAGAAGCGGAGCCGAGCGGCGGCAGCTCGAGGGAGGGCGGGCGTGCCCCGGCCCACGCGCGTCCCTCGGGGGGGGTGCCCTCCTCCTCCTCCTCCTCCTCCTCCTCCTCCTCCTCCTCTTCCTCCTCCTCCTCCTCCTCCTCCTCCTCCTCCTCTTTCTCCTCCCTCCTCCTCCTCCCTCCTCCTCCTCCGCCTCCTCTTCCTCCTCCTCCTCCTCCTCCCTCCTCCTCCTCCTCTTTCTCCTCCTCACCCCCCCCCCCTCCGCCTCCTCCTCTCCCCCCCCTCCTCCTCCTCCTCCTCCTCGTCCTCCTCCTCCTCCTCCTCCTCCTCCTCCTCCTCCTCCTCCTCCTCCTCTTAGGGGCCCTCCTCGGGACATCCGAGGATATCGTGTGTCTCGGAGCACGCTGGAGCTGGAGGAGCAGCGCTCGAAGGAGAAGCAGCGCCACGAGCACAGACTTTTGGCGCTCCGCGCGGGTTTCTTGAATCCGCGCTGGGCCCCCCCCCCTCCCCGGCGGCGCCTCCGGCGCCGCCCCTGGCGCGCTCCGCGCGCCAGGGAGGGGCTTGGCATCGCTCGGACGTGTGCATTTGTTCTCGGCGAGAACCATCGAGGGCCATCCTGGACCATCGAGCAAAGAGCACACGCACGAAACCGACAAATGCACGGGAAATGGACGTCCGAGCGACGGCAAGGGGGGGGGGGGGCCAGCGCAGATCCAAGAAATCCGCGCAGAGCGCCAACAGTCTGTGTTGTGTCCTCGCGCGCACGGCCCGTCCTTCCCTTCGGCGCCCTGGGGGGCAGCTCTCCTGCGCAGCCCGCCCGCTGGAGGCCAGGCGATCACAAACATGGATCGAGGGTGTGTGGATTGGCGACGGGTCCCGTTGCCATGGGAAATCGCGGACCTCCGCCGCCGAACGAGGCGGCACCGGCCGCATTTTGGGGGGGGGCACCTCCCCCGATCCAGGGATTTGGCGACCCCACGCCAAGTCCATGGATCGCTAATCCATGTTTGCGCGCACCCGAGGAGGTCAGCACCCTTTTCCCGAGCCCGTCCACAGTGGAAGTTCATGCCACGAAGCACCCGGCTTGCCTCCAGCGTGCCCTTGGTTTCTCGGTTTTCGATGGATTTGCTATGGAAGGCGTGACGTTCCCACATTAGAAATCAGTGGACGTCCTGGGGTCTCAGGGTTTGGCTTCTTGTAAAGGTTTCTCGTGGTCGATCTCCGACGGAACCTCCAGCGCCGTGATGTTTGTTCAATCTCTGGACACGCGGCCCGCAGGACTCGTGGCTGAGACCTGGTCTTGGAGGAGCAGGAGGATGAGAGGAGGAGGAGGAGGAGGAGGAGGAGGAGGAGGAGGAGGAGGACGCAGCCCTTCGGAATTGTCGGCCCCGCGGGCCCTTCGACCACTGCCCGCGGGGTGGATTTTCTCCTCCCGAGCTGCTTCTTCTGACGGCCCAGAGCCTGCAAACCTCGACAAGCTGGCCGTCGCGATGTCCGTTGCGTTCGGGGCTCGAAAGGCGGGGTGAATTCAAACGGGGGTCAGCCAGCTCTCCAGATCCTGCAGGGTCCTGCAGGGCCACGGTCGCATTGGCCCGGGTTTGGGTGCACGCTTCCGCGGGAGCCTGTAGGATTTTGCAGGGTCCTGCAAAGCCTGACTGGCCCGGGGTTGCACTGACCCGTGTCAGTAGATCCCCGATGCGTCGCCGCTGTGGCTTCGTGGCGAGCCCCAAGAACGCCGAGGTGGGGCACGACGGACCGCCGGGACCGAGGAGCGAGGGCGACGGAGGTGCGGATCAGCGGTGACGATGGGGCCGAATCTATATATATATATATATGTATATACACAAACATGTGTTTTATACATATACGTATATGTATACACTTAGATATATATGTGTATATATATACACATACATATACATACATATATATATATATATATATATGTATCCAGGGAGAGAGCGCTCCGTGCATGCAGGGCCTCCGATCGCCCATATCAGCTACCAGGCTCCCGGGCGACTGCGTGTCACGCCCGCCCTGTGATGGAGAAGCCGCCTTCCGCACGGCTGGACCAGCGACCCTCGACCAACCTGCCGGAAGGCTGGCCCGCTGTCTGTGCGGGCAATACGTATATCCATATCCAGAGCGTCTTGGACTTTGGGGGAAGGGGTGCCGCAAGGCCGAGGCGCACTGGATATGGATGGACATCTAGCCTTTTTGGGCCAGGTGTTTACCCATATCCAGTGCGCCTCCGGCTTCTGGGGAAGAGAGTCCAGAATTCCAACACGCACTGGATGTGGATATAACTATTGCCAGCTGTCTGGAGCGCGCTCGCCCCTCCAGCGTGAACGGGCAGAGATTGGCCCAGGCTTGTTTCGAGAAGCTTCCCGGCAGTTCTTGATCACATGTTCGGTCGTATCCGCCCCCTGTCGTCTCCCCCGCGCGGAGAGGGAGGCTGCCCGTCCGGCCCTGTCGTGCCAACCGAGGCACCCGTCGGCGTTCGTGATGGCGGCGCTGGCGAAGGCGCCGTTTGCCGAGGCGCGCCGCGCGTTCCGCCCACCTCCTCCTCCTCCTCCTCCTCCTCCTCCTCCTCCTCCTCCTCCTCCTCCTCCTCCTCCTCCTCCTCCTTCTCCTCCTCCTCCTCCTCCTCCTTCTCCTCCTCCTCCTCCTTCCTCCTCCTCCTCCTCCTCTCCTCCTCCTCCTCCTCCTCCTCCTCCTCCTCCTCCTCCTCCTCCCCTCCTCCTCTCCTCCCCTCCCTCCTCCTCCTCCTCCTCCCCCCCCCCCCCTCCTCCTCCCTCCTCCTCCTCCTCCTCCCTCCTCCTCCTCCTTCCTCCTCCTCCTCCTCCTCCTCCTCCTCCTCCTCCTCCTCCTCCCTCCTCCTCCTCCTCCTCCTCCCTCTTCTCCCCTCCTCCTCCTCCCCTCCTCCTCCTCCTCCTCTTCCTCCTCCTCCTCCTCCTTCTCCTCCTCCGCCTCATCGTCCTCCTGCTCGTCCTCCTCCTCCTCCTCCTCCTCCTCCTCCTCCACTCGACTTCTCTTTTTTCCCTACGCTTCTTCTCATCTCCTCTTCTCTCCGCTTCCTCTCATCTCGTTCGTTCGCGGGTCTAGGGCAGAGAGTGGAAGCCCGATCACCGAAGGTCGACGCCAAAAAGAGGCGGAGGGGAGGGAGAGCGGCGGCGGCAGCAGAGCCAGCAGCCCGCAGCTACCAATCATGGAAATCCCCGTGATCAGGGTACGGTGCAAAGTCCAGCGGAGACCGATTCTTCCCCTGCCCGGCGGTTCTTCCCTTGACGGGTCATGAGCCACGGTCGACGAGGATTTCGGAGGTGGCCTCGCGGAGGTCGTACGCCTGCATCAGCGACTCTGGTGTTGCCGCTTCAGCGAGTGCCACATGGATTGACCTCCATTTGATGGTGCTCTCGCCCCATCGCTGGCCGTAGTCTTGCATCAGCAAAGGTGGTGTTCCCGCTGCGGATTGTGCCGCATTCGAGAACTTCCCATTGGGCTTCCGTCAAACACGGGTGACTGAGGTTGCCATTCGGGATAACCGTCTCCCCTCCGCGCGACCTCACGCCTTTTTATTCAGCCTGCCGCGACCAGCGGCACCGCGAGCGCCACGTAGCCAGGGAGTGGGTCCCGTGGGTCCCGGACAAACATTGGCGCCGACTTGCACGCAATTGGCGGTCAGCCAGGGGGGGATCAGAAGAGGACAAGATACCGATACCGCTACCCGCCCCTCGTCGCCACGGCTGGATTCGCTGCGAAATCTTGGAGAGACCCTGGAAGTAGCGGTATCGGTGTTTTCTTGTCCCCCCAAGGGAGGTGGTGGTAGTGGTGGTGGTGGTGGTGGTGGTGGTGGTGGTGGTGGTGGTGATGGTGGTGGCGTTGCGCGGGGAGTCCCGGAAGGACTCTGGCAGAGCGATCGGGTCCTTCCCCGAACTTCCAGAAAAGACGCCTCGGCCCAGGCCCCGGGCAGCGGCCCCGACCGACCGAGGCCCGCCAAGCTCGCCAAGGGGAGCGGCGAGCTGGGGGGATCGGATGCGCGCAAGAGTGGCCCTTCGCCAGAGTAACCTTTCCAAGGGCTCCCCCGAGGGCGCGAAGTTATTCGCGCCCTCGCGGTCCTCGTTTCTCCTCCCCCTCCTCCTCGTCCTCCTTTTCTCCCTTTGGGGGGGCAGCGCGAGAGCGCGAAGTTATTCGCGCTTCGCGGAGCGCGAAGCGCGAAGTTGGGAGCCCTAGCTTTCTGGCGCGGTCCCACCGAGGGTGTCTCCAGCCATGGCTCGCGCGCTTAGATGTGTCCCCCCGCCGCCCCCCAAAGCCGCGCACCAAGAGGCGGAGGAGGCGGAGGCGGAGGAGGAGGAGGAGGAGGAGGAGGAGGAGGAGGAGGAGCAGGAGGGGAGGAGGAGGAGGGGAGGAGGAGGCGGAGCGAACATCGAATATCGAGGAGGAAGAGGAGGAGGAGAAATGTCTTGCTGGGGCCTTGAGCACCTCCCTGCCCCTCCTGCCCCCGCCGCAGGGCAGCGCGGCGCTGCTGGCAGCCGCCTGTACAGTGCCTCTCACCGTGGTGTCCTAGAAGGCCCTTGGGTGGAGAGGGCACATCATCCTCCTCCTCCTCGCTTCTCCTCTCCCTCCTCCTCCTCCTCCTCCTCCTCCCCCCTCCTCCTCCCCCTCCTCCTCCTCCTCCCCCTCCTCTCCACCTCCTCGTCCTCGCACCCCCTCCTCCTCCTCCTCCTCCTCCTCCTCCTCCTCCTCCTCCTCCTCCTCGTCCGGCACTGTCCACCTTCGTTGCATGCGCGGCAGCGTATTACCGCCGCAGCGCGGCGGCTGCACCCGTGCTGGCGCTCATGGTTGAAGTGCCCTGGGGCCCCGTCTCGGGCTTCGGGGCCCACAGAGGGCGGATGGCGGCGCGAAGTTTGTGCAATGGCTGGGGTCTCTGGGGGCCACTGCGGGAGCGAAGATCCTTCAGCAATGAACGGCTCACGCGGTGTCAAGAACGAGAGCCGAGTTCGTCACGGCGGTAGCCTGCTGTGCAGGGTGTTGTCCATGTTCAGAGCATGCGTTCGGATGCAACTCCTGGGAGGTCAAATTCTGATTTGGCCCTGGTCCGAAATCCTGCTCAATCCGGCGTAGTCCTGCTTGATCCGGCTTCATCCCGCTGAATCCGAGGCCCACTCCGGCGTAACAGCCCCCCAATGGGGCTGAATCCCCCGTAATCCTTCCGACGAAAGGCGTCCCAGAAGTTGCCTCCTGACATATAGTCATTGTTTGAAGGCCCGATGCGAATGGACATTCCACGCACGTGTTCTCACCGTACCTTGAAGCTGGAAGCACGTGTAGGGCGGCTCAGGGCCATCGCGGCGCCCAATTCCATGTCATTGTATTCTGCACCGCGTGCTCTTCTGTAGTGAATGGGCGCACGGTGCCTACGTGAGGAGACGTCTGCGTGGCCAAGTGCGGGGCCCAAACCCGACCTCAATTGAAGCCTTTAGTTACCATGTCTTGTGATCTAGCATGTGTGTTGCTGGTGTATTCTCCATGCGGCTTCTGGTGGGGATTCGTCACATCACTGACACCAGTTGGCAACATTCACCTGGCAAGTACATGTGCACAACAGTATACTTCGGTGGAAGACTGCCAGCTGCGTTAGGCGTGCGGGATCCAAATCGAAATTGAGGGATCGTGGTTCCGCCAGCCACAAAGAGGAAGGTTGGCGACTGAGCAGGTATGAGGAAAGCAGTGTTGTTCAGGCGGGAGGCGGGAGATTGACTGGCACATCTCTTCTGCCTGCTGCGTCTCTTATTTTATGTTCCCTTCAACCCTCCCTTCTGTGCTTCACGTAAGTATTCATTATGATCTCGTCGGCATGGTGTCGTATCGTTGAACACAGGTTCTCAAGGTGGTATGTTCGGGCAGTGCTTTGTTCTCAGGTCGATGGGCAAGCGTGATCGGGCTTGCCGCGACGGGACGGGTGAACGCCGGGTGCGAGAAAATATCCAGCATCGGCTTCGCATGCTTGGAATGTTGTCTACACGAGCTTCCGTTAGTTGTGATGTCATTCCACGCCATGTGCTGTTTTGAAGCAACATGCACTGACGAGCAAGCTGCACAGTTCTGTGATACAGGTGGTACAATGGAGTTCCGCTGCATCTCGCACACTATTGCGACATGTTGGTGTGCCGTGCAGAGAACTCATCACATGTCGTGCCGATTTTGCGCGCACTGCTGTCCTGTGGGGTGCTACGAAGAAGTGTTGAGGGTAACATGGGCAAACTGGGGTCTAAGCACACAAAGCCAGCAATCACGATTGTCGTCAAGGCCACGCCATATACAATGACAGACAGAGACAGCGCGTTCGCAGCTCAAGCTTTCCATTCCGAGCAGAGTTCGGCTACAGTCTCGCGATGTTTGCCTTGATCTGCATGGTCTCGGATAATATGCCATCGATCCTTTCCAGTTCACGCAACTGTTGTCGTCACCGTCGTGTTGTACATGGGATGGCTGCTGCGGCTAATTGGGAAGCTTCCATTGCACCATCTTGTCCCTTCGTTCGTTCTTCGCGCGTCATGGCAGGTAGATCATGTGTGCGCGTGTTTGTGCAATGCGTGCGCGTGCGTGTGGGCATGTGTGTGTGCATCATTGGCCGTGTGGATCCCAATGCTTTATTTACTGTTGGTTCCAGCTTTCGTTTAACCCGGATCGTGTATGTGTGAGACCAGGTACTGCGTTGAACGGCCGTGGACTCGGGGGCGCGGATCTATAGATAGGGTCGTAGTATGAGTGGGCCCGCCGTTTCCATACAAGCGATAGTTGGCAGGAGAGCGCTGTCCAACGTGTTGTTCGAAAAGACCGTGGTCTTGGAAGCACGGATGAGTCAATGGTAGTTGGGTTCGTGGTTTGGGGAGCGAAGTCCTTTGCGAGTGCCCGTGCCTTGGAAGCGCGGACATTGGTTGAACGCGGGATCGTGCGCTTGCAGCCTGGATCGATGGAACTTATTTCAAGGGGGATCGTGGCATTGGGTTTGCGGATCAGTTTGGGCCGCGAGAGAGCGTAGCCTTCAAAGCGTAGACCCATCGCATTCTACAACGGGTCACTGATGCGCGAGCGTTTGTCACTGCACTTTACGAAATGGCCACGATTGTGCGAGCGCGGATCCAAAGCACACACTTTTCTTGGACGAGGACACACTTCGTCGACGAGGTCCGTGTGTACTCAACATGCCCCACACCTCTCCGACGAGGACGCGCTGCAAGGGCACACTCACGTACGTCCGGCGGCTGTCCGGCCCGATGCCGCTGCGGCTGCTTCAGCGCGGGCGACCGAGGGTGCTTCAGCGCTCTGTGCTGCGGTGGCCGTCCGAGGGCCCTGCGGCCCCCGCGGCGCCGGCGGCGCAAGCGAATGCACACGAGCACCGCGTCCGAGCGACGGCACGCTTGAGGAGGGCCGGGAGCTGGAGGAAAAGCAAGCGTGGGCGCGAGGGGGCAGGGGAGGAGGGCAACGATGAGGAGATGGAGGAGGAGGAGGGGGAGGAGGAGGAGGAGAAGGAGGAGATGATAGAGGAGAAGGATGAGGGGGAGGAGGAGCAGCAGGAGGAGCAGGTATAATAATAATAATAATAATACGGCTCACAAGAGCGACAGTTCGACGGGCCGTGGATTAGCCAGCGACGAGTTCGAGTGCACAGGGGCTCAAACGCTCAGAGAAGCGACACTGAACGGGCGGCGACACGGGCAAGGCCCACCGACGACAGTGCACGCAGGCCCACAACGAAACGAATTCGAAGGGCCGCGAACGTCGTGCACTCATACCTGTAGCACGAGTGCACACAAGAGTTACTGCTGTGCATTCTGAAATCCACTTCCAGAGTTCGAACGCTCTAGGAATCGCTGACGGGCAAGCTGAAACCGTAAAGAAGAGCGAAGACCTTCGGTCACACTAAGAGGAGGAGGAGGAGGAGGAGGAGGAGGAGGAGGAGGAGGAGGAGGAGGAGGAGGCGAAGGGGGGATCGTCGAAGAGCGGGGACGAGTGGGGGGGGGCCTGTCTCTCGGCGGCGAGCGGTGGCGGGTGCCTGGAGGGTCAGCTGCAGGGCTCACGCCTCCATCGAATCGATAGTGTTCTCGATCTTGTGCTCGAGGCCGCTTGGCGGTGCAACTCCTTCGAGCTTGGTGATCTTCTCGCGGATGAGAATGGGAACGATAGTACTCTCGTAGACCGTGGCGAACGGGCTGCCTGCATCGAGGCGCTTCGCTTTGCTGTCGAGCGTCTTGCAGCAGCGACGAACTTCCTTCATCGGAGCGTGGAAGTAATTCTTGGTCTCGTTGCCCGTGCTCTTCATTTTTTAGCACATACATGTCCAGGTTGACTAGCTGAGGCAGGTCGAGCTCCTTCTCCTGGAACTTCTGCTTGGCGACCATGATCCATGTGTTCCAGACGTGAACGTGTAGGGTGGCGATCTCCAGCTTCATGTGCTTCTGATCCTTGCTGTACTGCATCGCCGCCTCCGAATAGTTCTCTGTAGAAGTCTTCGCCTGGATGAAGAACTCGGAGTTCTCGTTCACTTGATAGTGCTCCAGCACGATTGCCCTCATGGCCCGTGACGACATAGCAGTACTGAGGGTCAGCCTGGCGATGAGAAACACGAAAACGGTGAGGTCGTTCGGGCTGGCGCCCTTGCGGCGCTCCTTCGCGGCGCGAGGGGCTGCGACGGTGGCGAGGCCGAGGTCCATGGGCACGAGAAATGGAATCTGCTCGCAAGCTCTGTGGGTCAAGCTTGGATGATCGTGAGGTTGATAGTGAGCCTGATAACTCGAGGCGTCTTGGGCCAGAAAGGTGCGCCGTGCGAACATGGTGATGATAAACGCAGATGTCATCGCATTCGAAACTGTATCCAAATAGGCCACATATGGAACATGGGTATGCCTTGTCGGACACGATGGGGGGTGACGGAATGTAGCTTAGATCGACTTTACAACGACCGTAGTACCAGCTACGACGTACGTGATCTTGTGCAATCTTTCGAGTAGCGAGATGTGTCGAACACCAGGGACATATAGCTTCTTGGACGATCGAGTCGAGGGTCATCATACCGTGCAAAGACTGTTCACGTGCGCGATGTAACCGACGTGCTTTAAGGGTATTGAACGTGCATGTGCATAGATTACCATCGGTACGCATGAGACCACAGTAGTATTCACCCGAGGGGGGGCGCACACGATGATGGCGACGGGTGGAGCACATCGCAATCGTATTCATAAGACGGCGGTGAGATGGAGACAGATAAATACAGTGCACGAAGCTCGGACACGTCCACAAGGAGAAAATCCTCCTGTGAGTTGCCTGGGGTGAGAAGGTCGACGGGGTTCACGTCAGCGAGGAAGTAAGCTGATTCCAGTCGAGACAATGCTTGAATATCCATATGTAATTGATCCGTCCAAGGATGAGTAACCTGCACGCCGTCGTCGTGAGGTAGTCGGCCAAACATGGCAGTGACATACATTTGACGATGTAGAGGACGGCGGCAAATCTGTTGAAACCATTTCAATCGTTGAATACGGAGTTCTGTGGGTGTATCAGCCAAACCAATGCTGCGCCAAATCTCAATAGTCGGGATGGGCTGGTTTTTCATGGTGCCGTCGATCTGAGGAGTCTTGAGCGTAGCCTTACCCTTGAAGCTTGCGGGCGCGGAGTATAATGTATTTGTCGAAGACGGCGTAGCCGTGAGAGTGCAAGGCGAACGCGGCAAGGCCCGAGAGGAGTGCAGACCAGACAGTGCAACGAAACACCAGTGCACGAAAACGGAGATCAGTGTGAGTAAACCAACAGCGACGGAAAATAAACCAGGCCTTCTTGGCAGCTTGAAGTCGTAGGTGGCGTTCGACATAGAAACAGTTCTTGCAGTGAAGATATGGCCCGCGGTAGCGAGCAGCACGAAGAACGTTGCCAAATTCTTGATGAGAATGAACCATACGTTGGTATGTGTGAGCACCCGTTCCCACGAAGTGAACAGTCGACTCGTTCTTGCCCTTGTGCTGCGCAATGGTAAACCTGTCAAAGCATCGATCCAGCTTGGCACCATGGTCATCCTGAATATGCTTGAAGTGTGCAGGGGTCGATATCACGAACTGCTTGCATAGGTCGTCCACAAACGATGTGACAGAAAGGTCGACCTCGGAATCATTGATAGGAGAGCGCCCGACCATTTGGAGGACACGAGTAAGAGCACTCCATTCGTCTATGGCACGCCAGTAGGGAACATGGAACTCGTTGGCAGCGGCGCCGTTGCCTTGACATGTACCACTCTGGGGATAGAACTCAGCCACTTTGCCATGAGCTTGAAGAGTACAGTGGGCGCGCCGAGGATGTTGACGTAGGAGACGCTCATCTTGCTGAAGAATATGGTCTGGAGTCTCGGCAGCAGCCCCGTCAATGATGTCATCGTCGTTGTAGAGCATGAGATGATGAGTAGCTTCGTCCATGATGTCGCGTGGAGGGGGGGCAAATGAATTGACGACGTCGTAGTGATGGTTCGCGATACTAAGCCCAGCTTTGGCGAACCGATGAGAAACCACGAGCTTAGTAAGGATGGCTTCTTCCCGACGTCGACCAGGAACAGCAAACGCATGATGGGGTAGTTGACGACGTGGCTTGCCAGGACGCCGAAATAGACTTTTGTGATACGCCTTGGAGAAGGGAGAAACACTATGAACTATGCGAACGTCATCTTTCTTGGGAACTTGAAAGCCTTGGCTGCGGTGAAATTGAAACGGGCTGTGACCTGTAGCCCTGATCATCGCAAGGATACGTTGGAGCCGCTCAAGAAACAGGGTGGGTTGAAACAACTTTCCATCATGGCCTACACCGTCGGATTCTTCACGAAAAACTTTTTCTGACCAGAGTGCCATCTTCCAGACTTCACTGGGGGCGTCCCAAGCAGGAGGGACACGACGATTAGAACTTTGGCGAATCCACCAACGAGTCTGATGAAGGTCATATTCTCCGAGGAGGTGGGATTGGTAGTCAACGTGTGTTTGGCCATCGTGATCCTCGCAGAATTCTTGGCGAGCCTGTGAGAGAGGGAGGCGTAAGCAATTCCATCCTCCTTGAGAGCCTGGCTGGGATAATTGTTGAAGCCGTTCTTCTTCAGAGCGTTGCCGATTTGCAGCCTTGTGATCATTTCGAAGTCATCGACCAATACAGCGGCCTGTAAGTAGTCGAGCCAGGTGCCGCGCCTCGGCCATGCGGCGGGATCGCCATGCGATCTGTAGTTCCAATTGACGTTGGTCGTGAAGTAGTCGGCGTTGCTGTGCGTTGGGCTGTCTGATGAGGCGGTTGACACGTAGGAGTCGAGATATGATAAGCCAGCTCCTCAGGACCGTGCGCAAATAACGATGATCACCACGTGCCTTGTGCACATCGTTGAGGGAGGCGGCCTGGTCGCGTAGATCTCGTCGCTGCTGTAGGAGATGTTGACGCTGAGGTCCGTGCGGGCACTGTGATCGGGAGACGCTGTAGTATTTCGCTGCGATGGGCAATAATCCATGTTCGACAAGGGCGGACCACTGTTCTGAAGCAGTCCTGTCGCGAAGCCCGTCCAAATAAGAAGCATTCTCAGAAACCCATTGGTCCAATGCTCGTAAGAATTCTTGTCTGTGGGATCCGGAGAACCACGAACGAACGAGTGAGTCAAAATCCCAGCGAACATGATTGTCTGATTCGGGACCGTCATACTGAAGATTGTGGGACACGGGAGTGTAAACTGGGTGATGTTCGACACGTTTAGTAGCCTGTACCAATTGAAGTCGATCTCCGAGGTGGCGGAGAGTCTGGCATCTGTGAACATGACCAGCAATATAGAAACTTCGAGGAACAATTATGAAATCGATATAGCTAGTGCTGCCAGTGACGCCATGATAACAAGTCGGAAATGTATTGTAGAACGTGTTTAACATAACTAAGTCGTATTTGAGCAGAAAGTCTATGAACTGTTGGGTGCGAGGTTGCTGCAAGCTGCGATTGAAGGGCCCAGTGCACGAGTCATCTGTCGGTGTATGGCCAGCGGGGGTGCGGACTAGTCCGATGTGATCGTTCGAGTCGATGCCGAGGATGGGTAAAGTACGGGACGGCATAGAAGAGTAGAGGTCCTCCAGCCAGCGAAGTGTGCCAGCATAGTCACGTTTGCTACGAGCGGTGTCTGTGTTCGGGGGGAAGTACGCCGAGATGAATGTATAATCAGCATGTCGATATTTGCATCGAACGGCACCTCCTCGTCCCCATAAGCTTTGTGGTTTCGGGTGCGAGATTTATACGAAATTGTTGCGAGAAAACCTGCGTGCCGACAGTGCAATAGTGACACCCGTGTGCGCATTGCCGCAATTGTGGTGGTATCCGAACTGGAAGACATGATACTCGCGAGAACCATGTACGTCACATGGATCGCATTCATGAACGCGACGACGAGTTCCTTGTAGGAGAAGGACGCTAGAGCGTAAGCACGATGTTATGTCTTGAAAGCGATCGTTGTGCAGTAGGCTGAGACAGTTTTAAGAAGAGATAGAGAACAAGTGTGATACCATGGAGAAGCACGGTGCGAGTAAGAAACGAGTGCTCACCGCCCTCGTGTCATATGCGGAGTGATGTATGGGGATACGGTAACAGGCAGGCCCTGGGAACGTGGGGTGACGCTGAAATGGGCTGCAAGAGGAGCAGGAGGAGCAGAGGGAACAGGAGGAGCAGGAGGAGCAAGAGGAGGAGGAGATGGAGGAGGACGAGGAACTGGAGGCGGACGTGGACGATGGCGAAAGCACCATGCATCGCCCTGGCTGCTATGACTCCCCGTGGTGCTGCTCGTCTCGGAGCAGCGGCGCGCGCAGGCGCGGCGGAAGGCCGAGGAGCTGGCCAGGGAGAAGCAGGAGGCGCGCCGAAAGGCGGAGGAGGCCCGTGGCACCCATCAGCATCATCTGACCTATCACCATCCCCACTGGGCTTACGGTCAGGGGGTTTCTTTTAATGTGTATGGTCGTCCCGCCGGGCCCGGAGGAGGAGGAGGTACACGCTAAACGAAACATCGATGCAGACACACGCTAAAAAATCGAGGAGGAGGAGGAGGCCCGTGGCACCAATCAGCATCATTGGAAGAAACAACAACAGCAACAACAACAAAACAGCAAAACATTAAAACGAAACAAAAAAACTCCGGAGCCCTGGATCCCATCTCTCTGCGTCGCGTCTCGAGCCGGATCGATCTGTGAGGGCCCCCAGGGCCCCCAACCGGGCGGAGACGCCCGGAGTGAAAAGCGGATCTGCAGCGCGCGCACCCATCACCATCCCCACTGGGCTTACGTCGGGCCTGTCCCTCTACAGGAGGAAGACTCAAAACATAGGCACAGCTGTGGCGTTGGGTCACCGTTTTAGAAAGACGGTCCCCGCGTTCCTCCCTCCCTCCTTCCTTGCTCCTCCTCCTCGCTCCTCCCTGCGTTTCACCCACCCTGTACAGCGTTTCGTTGCCGCATAGGGAGCTCCGCCGAAACTCCCAGTCGGACCGTCCGCATGCGTCCCGGAAACCAAATTTGGCATTTCCACCCACCCAGTACAACGTTTCGTGGCCCCATTGGGAGCTCCCCGCAAGCCCCCAGTGGGACCGTCCGCATGCGTCCCGGAAACCCAATTTGGCATTTTCACCTACCCAGTACAGCGTTTCGTGGCCCCATTGGGAGTTCCACCGAAGCCACCAGTGGGACCGTCCGCGTGCGTCCCGGAAACCTAATTTTGGTATGTTCGCTCGATCAACCAGTACATCGCATCGTGGCCCCATAGGGAGCTCCCCCCCCCATCCCCCAGCGGGACCGTCCGCCTGCGTCCCGGAAACCAAATTTGGCATTTTCACCAACCCAGTACAGCGCTTCGTGAGGGAACTCCACCGAAGCCCCCAGTGGGACGGTCCTCATGCGTCCTGGAAACCCAATTTGGCATTTTTGCCGACCCACTACAGCGCTTCGTGGCCCCATAGGGAGCTCCACCGACGCCCCCAGTGGGACCGTCCGCGTGCGCCCCAGAATCCGATTCTTCACCCACCCAGTACAGCGCGTCGTGGCCGCATAGGGACCTCCACGGAAGCCCCCAGTGGGAGGACCGTCCGCATGCGTCCCGAAACCACATTTTGCATTTTCACCCACCCAGTACGGCGCTTCGGGGCCCCATAGGGAGCTCCATCAACGCCCCCAGTGGGACCGTCCGCATGCGCCCCGGAAAACCAATTTGGCATTTCCACCCACCCAGTACAGCGTTTCGTGGCCCTAGAGGGAGTTCCTTCGACGGCCCCAGTGCTGCCGCCCGCATGCGTTCCCCCCATCCAATGCAGTGGTGGCCCCATAGGGAGCTTCACCGACGCCCCCAGTGGGACCGTCCACATGCGTCCCGGAAACCCACTTTGGCATTCTGACGCACCCAGTACAGCGCTTCGTGGCCCCATAGGACGGAGCTCCACCGACGGCCCAGTGCTACCGCCCGCATGCGTCCCCCCCACACCCAGTACAGCGCTTCGTGGCCCCATAGGGAGTTTCACTGAAGAAGATATTCACAATCGCGGTACCCACAACTGCATGTGGTTGGGTCCTTCGCCGGTATATGTTGTGGTATTTGTGAATACTTGTCATTCAATTTTCGTTCAAAATCCGCCTGTAGGAGGACATGCCCGACCTAACACTGGGCCATGGTACCTCAGCCCTACCAGCCGACCCTGCCGGGTAGGGATAGGTCCCGCAAAGCCTGGAGGAACAGCCACAGATCCCCCCCCAGGTGGGCAAGGCAGCCAGTGGAGCCAAGGCCACGCTGAGTGGAGATGGCGATCGATGGAAAACGATGCTCAACACTGCTGTGTCCCTTCCGCTGCTGCGAGGAGGAGGAGGAGGAGGAGGAGGAGGACGAGGACGAGGATGACGAGGACGAGGAGGAGGAGGAGGAGGAGGAGGCGCAGGAGCAGGAGCAGGAGCAGCAGCAGGAAGATGAGGTGGAGGAGGAGGAGGAGGAGGAAGAAGAGGAGGAAGAAGAGGAGGAGGAGGAGGAGGAGGAGGAGGAGGAGGGCGAGGAGAAAGATGAGGTGGAGTTAGAGGAGGAGGAGGAGGAGGAGGAGGAGGAGGAGGAGGAGGAGGAGGAGGAGGGAGGAGGAGGAGGGGGACGAGGGGGAGGAGGGGGAGGGGGAGGAGGAGGAGGAGGAGGGAGAGGAGGAGGAGGAGGAGGAGGAGGAGGAGGAGGAGGAGGGAGGAGGAGGAGGAGGACGCCGCCCTGTGCAGGGCAGGCTCGCGCCGCCTCGGCGCGGCATACGCGCCGGCGCGGTTGCCGGTGCTGGAGCGCGCCTTCCGGGGGTGCCCGCCTCGGGCCCCGCGGGGCCCACAGACTGCTGGGCTCGGGGATGCACCCCAGGCGGTGCGGTGGCCACACCGCGCGGGGAGTCGGTGGGGATCCGGGATTCGGGTCGTTCTCCGAAGACGTCTAGGGGGGGGTCGGGGCCTCCATCAAGGGTAAGTCGGACGACAAAAAGATACGCCGAAAATAGTCAAAAGGTAGTCCAAACAAAGTCTGGGGACTGTTTTTTCGCGTATTCTTAATTTTTTTTGGATTATATATATATATATATATATTATATTATATATATATATATATATATATATATATATATATATATATTATCATACGCACCTCTCCGAGGGAGTAGAGCTCAGAGGCGATTAATGCGCACGGCGTCCGCGATTTTTCTGGCCGTTTCGCTCGGGACATCCTCGAAATTCTCAAAATCGGTGGCACCCCTCACGCAGATCGTGACGTCAGGGTCCAAAAACACATTGGAATTTCAACATTTTAACATAAAACCTTCAAAAACACATAGTAATTTCAATAATTGTGACCCCGATTCTCAGAGAATGGCGGTTTCGCCTGAGACATCCTCCCAAAATCGAGCCCCAGACCCCTCCTCGGAGTCTCCTGGGGGCCTCCTGGAACCTCCTGGGGCCTCCTGGGGCTTTCTGGACTTTCTGGTACCCCAGACCCCGCCTCGGAGCCTCCTGGAGTTCTCCTGGGCCTGCTGAGGCCGCCTGGGGTCTCCTGGGGCCTCCTGGGGCTTCAGAACTACATGCACACACAGAGACACAAATCACGCCCAACACATCACACGCTAGACAAACATAACATACACACACAACACCGACAACACACAAAAAACACGCACCACACAAAACACACATCACACACACACAACACTCACAATCCTGGGGCCTCCTGGAGCCTCTTCTGGTATCCAAGTCGGGCCTCCTGAGGCTTCCTGGGGGGCCCTGGTACACACATCGCAAGGTGTGGCAATCCCACTTGCGCTCGAGTGCGACTTCGCTGTTGCATGTCACTCCTGCTTCAAACGCCCCTTCAGCTTGTTGTATGAGCCTGGGCACACACGTGCCACTTGTATATATATATATATATGTATGTATATATAAATGTACGTGTATATATATATACATATATATATATATGAATATACATATACACATATATATATACATAAACAAAAAAACGTCGAACATCCCCCTGCAGGGGGACAGGCCCGACATACATCAAGGGAGGAAGGACCACCCCGACCCGGACAAGCGGCGTTTGCGGAGCGGCCCTGGGCGTTGACTACACAGCCCTGCCCTGTTCGAGATGCCTCCCGTGGGTGCGTCTACGAAACGGCTTCGCTTGTCGGGGTGCACATTCTGGGAGTGGATTTTCTGCTTTCTACTCCAAGGTCTCACAAGCACACTGCAACGGACCGTGCGGTGAGGTCTCTGGGGGGCTCTGAGGCTGCCGCACGGTCTCTCACCGCACCGTTTTGGTTGGTGCACCCAGCGAAGCCGCGGCTGGACATCCAGACAGAGGATGGGGTCGACAGCCTCTGGAGACCTCCGAGAGCAGAGAGCATTCAAGCTTGAGCGGGCCACGCTGCATCAGAAGCCAATGCCCACGCGGGCGAGTGGGCCGCGCCCGCCGCTCCCCAGGGGGCTCCTGTATCCACTCCTCCCCTCGTCGTCCTCCTCCCCTTTCCTCCCTACTTGTCCCCCACTCCTTCCCTCTCTCGCCCTTCTCCCTCCTCCCCCGTCCTCTTCCGCGCCGAGTCGGCGCAGCAGCCGCGAGTTGGAAGGAGGGTGGGGGGCGAAATTGGTGAGGGTGGGGGTTGGGGGCAGGGGAACGCGGAAGCTAGCAGTGGACTAGCGGCAGATGCGGCGACAGCCAGTCTATTGAACCAAGCTCCTTTTTATGTACGCCTCCTCCGTGCAAATACCATCCTCCGCCTTTTCCTGCTCCCCCACCTGCCCAGTATCGTGTTCAGATTGCCTGGGTAGGAACTGCAGCGAGCACCCGTGCATGGGGGGGGGAAGACAGGAGGGGGATCGTGACGAGGGAGGGTGATAGACGGAAAATCCACCTATGCGTCTGCAGCCTCGATCGTGTTCGATGACTCCTGCGTCAGAGGGCGTTTGCTGCTCCTTCACGGCAGGAGAAGGAGAAGTTGGAGAGGAAGTTCAGGCTGACTCTGCAGCTGCAGCGCAAAGAGAAGGAAGAGGACCTCCGCCCACAGTTTGAGCAGGTGCCGTAACACAGAGCACGGGTGGTAGCACAGGGGTCGAGAGTATGTGTATCCAACGCTACCTGCCTGCTCTCAGCCCTCCTGTGTTGGATCCTCGACCGTAGCCACTGTGGCTCAAGTGGCGCTCCGGCTCGAGCCTCTGGCGCTCGGGTCGCCAGTCTTCCCTCAAGGTGCTGACGGGTCCCCCCGGCGGCCAGGGCGAGCGCTTGGGCTGCCGCTGTCCGCCATGGCGGCCCCGAGCGCGCGGTCGCGGCGGGGCGGAGCGGGCCTCCTCGGTCATGATGCTCCAGCCGACTTTCGCCTTGACCACTTGGAAAAATTTTTCGAGCACCAAGGAGGTACCGAAACTGAGGGGGGTTCACGTGTCGGGCCCTGGGGGGCGATACTCGTCCGACCGTGTTTCGATACGTTTCGGGGTGCTCGAAACTATTTCTGGGATTCGGTCGTGAGATGATGACGATGATGATGTTGATGATGACGGTGATGCCGATGATGCTGATGACAATGATGGTGGTGATGATGATGACGTTTATGATGATGATGATGCTGATGATGCTGATGATGATGATGTTGATGCTGAGGATGATGATGATGATGGTGATGATAGTGATGATGATGATGGTGATGATGATGGTGTTGATGATGTTGCTGATGATGATGGTGATGATGCTGATGGCGATGATGCTGATATTGGTGATGATGCTGATGATGATGTTGTTGATGTTGATGCTGATGATGATGATGATGATGGTGGTGATGATGATGATGGTGTTGATGATGCTGCTGATGATGATGATGGTGATGATGATGAGGATGAGGATGAGGATGAGGATGATGATGCTGATGATGATGATGCTGATGCTGATGCTGATGCTGATGATGATGATTATTATGATGATGATTACGACGATGATGATGATGATGATGATGATGATGTTGATGATGATGATGATGATGATGATGATGATGATGATGATGATGCATGCATGCATGCATGCATGCATGATGATGATGATGATGATGATGATGATGATGATGATGATGATGATGATGATGATGATGATGATGATGATGATGATGATGATGATGATGATGCCTGTGGCATGGTCCTTACGCACGATAGGGGGCCAAATGACTTCTCGGACCCGTGCTGGCGGAGGTGCCGCGGAGGGCGCGCAGGGGCCTGCCAGCCCTGGGCGGCCGGCAGGGGGCGCCCAACATCCCTTGGGGGTCTCTGCTCCGACGGCGGCTTACAGGAGCGAAGGGTTTGGGGGGCTACAGGAGCAAAGGGTTTGGGGAGCTACAGGAGCGAAGGGTTTGGGGGGCTACAGGAGCGAAGGGTTTCCGGGGCTAAGGCGAAGGGCTTTGTGGGCTAAGGCGAAGGGTGTTGGGGGGTAAAGGAGCGAAGGGCCTTGGGGGCTACAGGAAGGAAGGGTTTGGGGTGTACACGAGGGGAGGGTTCGGGGGGGGCTATGTGGGGGAAGGGCTTTGGGGGTTACGGTACACGAGGGACGGGTTTTGGGGGCTACAGGAGAGAATGGATTTGGGGGCTACAGGAGAGAAGGGTTTAGGGGGCTATAAGAGCGAAGGGTTTTGGGGGCTACAGAAGCGAAGGGTTTGGGGGGCTACAGGAGCGAAGGGTTTTGGTCTGTACGGGAGGGAGGGGTTTGGGGGGCTACAGGAACGAAGGGTTTGCGGGGCTACAGGAACGAAGGGTTTGATGGCCACAGGAGCGAAAGGCTTGCGCGGGGGGCTACAGGAAAGAAACCTTTTGGGGGGCTACAGGAGCGAAGGTCTTGGGAGGGTGCATAAGGGAAGGGTGTTGTGGGCTACAGGAGAGTAGGGCTTTGGGGGCTACAGGAGCGAAGGGTTTGGGGGGCTACAGGGGGGAAGAGTTTGGGGGGGCTACAGGAGGGAAAGGGCTTTGGGGGCTACAGGAGCGAAGGGATTGGGGGGTACAGGAGCGAAGGGTTTTGTTTGGAACAGGAGCGAAGGTTTGGGGGGGGCTACAGGAGCGATGGGGTTGGGGGGGTACAGGGGCGAAGGGACTGGGGGGCTACGGGGGACAAGGGTTTTCGGGGCTACAGGGGCGAAGGGTTTGGGGGGTACTGGAGCGAAGCGGTTATGGGGGCTACAAGAGAGAAGGGCTGTGGGGGGCTACAGGAGGGAATGGTTCGGGGGGTACAGGGGCGAAGGGTTTTGGGGCTACAGGAGCGAAGGGTTTGGGGGGCTACAGGAGCGAAGAGTTTTCGGGCTACAGGAGCGAAGGGGTTTGGGGTCTACAGGGGCGCAGGGTTTTGGGGGTTACAGGAGCGAAGGTTGTGGGGGTACAGGAGAGAAGGGTTTTCGGGGGCTACAGGAGAGAAGGGTTTTGTGGGGCTACATGGGGCGAAGGGTTTGGGGGGTGGAGGAGCGAAGGGTTTTGGGGGCTACAGGAGCGAAGGGCTTTGGGGGGCTACAGGAGAGAAGGGTTTGGGGGGCTACAGGAGCGAAGGGCTTGGGGGGGCTACAGCGAAGGGCTTTGTGGGCTACAGGACGGAAGGGCTTGGGGGGGTACAGGAGCGAAGGGTTTGGGGGGCTGCAGGAGAGAAGGGTTTGGGGGGCTAGAGGAGGGAAGGGCTTTCGGGCTACAGGAGCGAAGGGTTTTGGGGGTTACAGAAGCGAAGGGCGCTATGTCGCCCCCATCGTACATGATGACCACATCCCAGAAAGAGCTTCGAGCACCCCGGAAAATATCGAAGCGGCGTCGAGCGAGTATCGCCTCACAGGGCCCGACGCGTGAGACCCCCCCCCCAAGGTTCGGTACCTCCTCGGTGCTCGAAACTCTTTCTAGCGGTCAAGGCTAAATCAGTTTGGAACATCATAACACGAGGCGTTGGACAATGGCTGCCCGTCGGTCGTTGAAAGTAAGTATTTCTGGGGTCCCAGATTCCAATCTACTTTAGGACACTTCCTACTTCAATGATCGAGTGGCTTCACTTTTTCCGTCCTCCTGAGGGGGCGGACGGAACCCAATCTTCTTTCAACGCGTTCCGGCTCCACGTGTCTGCCTACTTCTTCCCACCGATGGTTGCGCGTACGAGCGGAGCGCGACGTACGCCAGCGCGCGACGCTGCTCCTCAACATCTCCCGACGCGATGCCAGCTACAGGACGGAGAGCTCGAGCGGCAATGCTGACGACGAGGGCGTGGAGACAGCGGTGGTTAGCTTCCCGTCGATCTCTTTATTTCGGCGTGGCGCTACGGGGCGCAAGACAGCTGCTGTACGTACGAGCTGCGCTTGGCGATGAAACCGGGGACGGGCTCCAGCACTAGTGCTGGACCTGCACAGTGTTTCGGCCATCTCGTGGGCCGTTTTGTTTTTCGTGTTGTTTTTTGTTGAATTCAAGGCAAAGCGAAGGCACAACGAGGAAGAACGAACACCAATGCGAAAACGAATGACACCGTTTAGGTTCAGCCCTGTCCAGCACCTCGCGGTACGAAGCCAACCGTCGGACGGAGCGCTATCGCTACCTCCAGATCCTGGCGACGCAGAGCTGGGGATAGGCGTCATCCGCTACGCCGCTGGGGCCCGTGCATTCCACAGGATTGGCAGCGGCAGCAGGCCTCGTCGCTGCTCACGCGGCTCCCTCGGGGGCCGCGAGGTGCGCCATTGTCGCCATTTTCGTGGGCTTCTGCGAGGCGCGGCGGAGGTGAGGGCAGCGCAGATCCCTTGGAGACATCGCGGCTCCCACAGGGGCCGCGAACTTCGCAATTGTCGCAGTTTTCGTGGCCTCCTGGGAGGCACGGCGGAAATGAGGCTCTTCATCTATACTTGGTTGTCGTGTGCCGTGTTCCTATAAGCAGTCGTTCGTATACCGTGTTGATGTAAGCAGTCGCCTAGCGTTTTACAAGGGGTTTGGGTACGTTTCGGGAGGGTGTTCACTCTCTTCTTTGTTTCTTTGTTCGGTGTCTGTCTCTCGCTCTCGCTCTCTCTCTCTCTCTCTCTCTCTCTCTCTATATATATATATCCCCTTCTCTCTCTCTCTCTCTATCCGCATTTCTTTATTTCTTTTTTCCTTACCTCTCTGCATGTATAGCATGTAAGTAACTACAGGCACAACTCTACCCAGAGGCCGCAAGCTAGGCGGAGGATGGACCAACTGAGGAATAGGAACGTGTTGAGGATCTGGGGGGGAGAAAGTGGCGGAGCAGGAGGTCGAACAGCGCAGAAGGAGGAGGCGAGGGAGGAGGATGAGGATTGGAGGAGGGGGGAGGATGGGAGGAGGAGGCGGAGACAGCGTAGAAGGAGAGGGAGCATAAGGAGCATGAGTATGAGGAATCAGGAAAATAATGCTGGCGTGCTGAAACAGTATCCGAGTCGCTTGAAACGATCGTGGATGCTACCGGTTAGTATAAGCATCAGTGCTATGATTGTTTCGTTGTGTTGGTACCTTTTTGGTGCACGAGTGAAGGATAAGGAATTGTGGAAGGGAAGTGATGGAAACGGAGGGGGACGGAAGAGGAGTAGGAGCAGCAGCAGCAGCACCTCCATTTGGTGCGCTCGTTGTCCTTCCAGGCGTGGTCTTTTGGGGGCATGCCTGAATCAGTCGGGGCTCTTCGGCGATGCTGGAGGGTCGTCGTCATCGTCCTCCTGCTCCTCCTCCACTCCTTCTCTACCCATTATTATCTTGTTCCTCCTCCCACCTTAACCATCCTCCCTCATGGTTCTCCTCCTCCCTCCCCATTTCTCTCTTCCTTCTCTTCCTCCTTCTCTTTCTCCTCCTCCTCCTCCTCCTCCTCCGCCTCCTCCTCCTCCTCCTCCTCCTCCCCTATCGCCCTCCTCCTCCTCCTCCTCCTCCTCCTCCTCCTCCTCCTCCTCCTCCTCTCCCTAAGAGAGAGGAAGCGGGATGGCCACAATGTGTGGTTCCGTGGCACATTTGCAGCTTGCCTGCCGCCACCACATCGACGGTACACTGCGCCACAAGAGATCGCGATGGGCCACCAGGGGGGACCCTTCTCTCTACATCTCTCCTACTCGTTTACAGTGCTGCTGCGAAGCCGATATAGAGAAGATGAGCATGGAGGAGGACCATTCGGAAAATGGAGGCCGAGGAGGGTAGAGGAGGAGGGAGGTCCCTCTGAATTCTAGTTGCAGTCAGTGGATCTCATACCACGATATAGCCAGGGACCGTTGCTGCTTCCACCACCTCTTCGGCTGCTGCTGCGCGCGCGCCCGACCTGGAGGAGGCCAGAGTCAACGTGATAGAAGACTCCAACGTCATAGAAGATTCCGGCGCGGAGGAGGTCGATGACGATGAAGACGAGGACGTTGCCGAAGGAGGGGTGGAGGAGGTAGAGAAGGAGGCGAATGAGGAGTATCGGAGGATGAGATGAGGATCATGAGCAGGAGGATTTGGAGGAGGAGGATGAGCAAGAGGAGGGGACCCACCTGCTGGGGAGCAGCAGCGACCGCGGGGGGCGGGGGGTGGGGGGAAAAGGGGGAAAAGGGGGAGGAGGATTGAAGGGGAGAGAGGGCAAAAGGAGAGAAGAAAGGCTGGTTGGTGTGGTCCATGGGGCAGCGGTCGCATCCTCGGGCACGGATGTGTTTGGTGAGACTGCCCGGACAGGAGGAAGCCTCCCGCGCCGGAGCAGCCCACACATCGCTTACTGTGCCTCCAGGTGGGCGGGGGAGAGGATGGGAAGAGGAGCGACGGGGGGGGAGACAAACGCGACGGGGAGTGCGGGTGAGATGGGGTGAAGGATGCGGCAGAAACGTCAAGTAAGCAACCGGCAGGGCCAGCAGATACCACAGGGGCGTTCTCTGACCCCCGAGGGCCTCGGGGGCGAGCATGAACTCTGGGGCGCCGCTTTGGAAGCTCAACGGTCGACGACAAGAGTGCCCTAATGTATTACTGAAGCAAGGTTGCTGGTTGCGTTTAGTTGAGTATCTCCCTCCATATGCCTACAGCTTTCTACCTTTATGAAATTACACACGTATATTTGTATACACGTATGAATGAGTGCGCGTGTGTGTGTGAGAGAGTGTGCGTGTGCGTGTTATCCAAGGTGGGCCCCCAGAAGTGCGTTACTTCATTGTGACGCTGACAGCTATGCGGTGCAATCTATGTGGTGAATGACTGTGTTGTGTAAGTGGTGTGGCGTGAGCCATGCAGGTGAAAAGTATGCGGTGCAAACAGAGCAAGCTACGTCGGGGTAGCGACGTGTATTGCAGGTGGGAGCTGTGTGATGTAAGCTCTGTGATGTAAACGACGGTGTGTAAGCTGTGTGGTGCAAGCTATGCTGTGCAAGCTATGCGGTGCAAGCTATGTGGTGCAAGCTATGTCGTGTAAGATCCGGGCACGGGGCGCCCGCGGGGCAGCACGGGCGGCATCCTTGCGCAACCTCGGGGAACTCACTCAGCGCACGGGGCGCCCATGAGGCGGCACGGCCGGCAACGTGGCGCAACCTCGGCATACCCCTAAAGCGCGAGGCGCTCAAGAGGCGGCACGGGCATCAGCGTGGCGAAAACTGGGAGTGCCCAAGCAAGCACCGAAGCATGCGAAGCAAGAACCGCTCAGTGCACGTACTGATCGGGGAATGCTTGTTGTGTCTACATGCGTGCCTATGTATATTCTACACACGTATATTCAGAGACAGATCTTGCCATGTCTGGCACACTCTGCTCAGGTGGACGCCGCCCCGAAGAGGTGATCCCTTCATGCCCCGTGCGTCTTGATTTTATAGGTGTTAGCTGATCGAGAGAGAGGAGAGAGAGAGAGAGAGAAAGAGAGAGAGAGAGAGCGAGAGATTCAGAGAGATTGAGAGAGAGAGAGAGAGAGAGAGAGAGAAAGAGACACACACACACACACACACATCGTACGCGTCTACCGCAGGAAGACCGAGCGAGAGAGCGGGGGGGGCCGTCCCTGCGGCGGGCGGCGCAGCGCCAGGACGACCCCCTCCTGGCAGTTGTGAAGGCGGCGCAGGCGCAAAAGAAGGAGGGCCAGAAGGCGGGGCCACACTCTCCGCGCCCAGCGCCGCCTCCCCTGCTCCCTCCTCCCCCTCCTCCTCCTCCGCTTCCTCCTCTTCCTCCTCCTCTTCCTCCTCCTCCCTCACCGCGGGGACTCTTCTTCGGATTCGTCCCCGCCCAACTCGTTCAGTCTTGTCTGGACGTCGTCCCTTCATGGTTACTTCTGGTTACTCCCTCCTGGGCTTCCGGAGGGAGTAGTCGGCGGTGTACGCCCTGGTCGCACAGCTGCTGGAGCCTGCGCGCTGTTCGGCCGAGGCCTCTTCGATTTGGACAGGCGTTTGGTTCCTGACCCGTCGCGCCTGTTTCCCAATCCGCGCCTCAAGGAGAGGGTTGTCTGGGCGCTTCGTTCAGGGGACCATTTTTTGACGTGCACTTTTTAGAGACGGTTCGGGTCTGCGCGGTCGATATGGCCGTATCAGGAGATGTGGATGGTTGTTGTGATCACTCGACGCCGCGTGGCGCGAGGTCGCGAGCGAGGCCGCGAGATTGCATGGGCTGTTCCCGTCTTTTTTTCCATTCGGCGCCCACAGCTGAGCTGTTTAGGTTCCTGATGGCCCTCAGATACGTGGGGGCCCACAGGTCAAGTTGTTCACTGGCTGCAAGCCTCTCGTCGATGTGTGGCGCCAAGGGGTCGGCGCTGGCGCGGCTGCCAGCGACCCCGTGGCCATACTATGGAGGGAGCTGCGGAGGCTGTTGTCGGATCGGGGGGTGGATTCGGCGGAGGGTATTCGCGTGAAGGCGCATTCCAGCCTCAGCCGTGGCCGATGGCCACATCGCGGCGTGGCAGCGCTTCGGGGATTCCAAGGCTGATTTGTCAGCCGAACTTGGTTCGCAGCTTCATCCACACAGTGAGCCTCGCAGGCATGCCCACAAAGAGTCCCGCAGTGCGATCAAGATGGTCGCCCTGTTTTGCACGCGCGTCGCTGGTCGAATCGGCTCTGTCACTGCGTTCGATGCCTAGCCGCAGGCTCTCGGCAGGGTCATTGGATCCATTGAGGGCGGCATCGGCCCTGCTCGTGCGCTCTCGTTGTATGACCCAGCGATTACGTTTTTTTCTCTGCATTTTCGGTGCATGGTGTGTCTCAGGTGGCCAAATCCAAATCGGTGCCCCGCCAGCTCAAGTGCAGGCAAAGTGTGAGCCAGCACCCACTCCACAGGGCTGGTCCTGCCCGGTTCTGTACATTGTGCGGGTCGTACGCTAAGAAGCATAGCGTCGGCCTGTCAGATGATTGCCGTCCCGGGATATGTCGTGCCGGCACGAGCGTCAAGGACTCCATGTTTTATCGCCTTCAGAAGCTTCTGAAAAAGGCAGGCGCCCCAAGTCTAGCCTGTTTTTCAGCCCTCCAGTTTTGCTGCGTGCTCGGAGGTTCTGCGGGACGGCTATTTTGCCGCTGGTTCCATCTCTCCTTAGGACCTGTTGGGCGGGGGGTGGGTCGGGGGGGGGGGGCGGGGGGGGCGGGTCAGGAACTTGTCTCCGCATACTCCTTGCACCCAGTCTGATATGGCCTTGTTGGACACATTCGCGGGTCTCCACGATGCCAGCGACTCGGACGACGACGATCCAGCCCACAAAGCACGGCAATGGGTCGAGTAGCGTCCCCATGGTTGGCCGCATGTCTTTTTTCACTCTCTGGTCAGTACGCTTGCGGCTGAGCTTTGTCTGGTCAGGAGCTCCTCCTCATCCCGGCCTTCCTCCTCCTCCTGCTCCTCCTCCTCCTGTTCCTCCTCCTGCTCGTCCTCTTCCTCCTTCTCCTCCTCCTCCTCCTGTTCCTCCTCCTGTTCCTCCTCCTGTAGGAGTTCGGCCATGGGATATATCGGGTGAGGCGGGCGGTGACGGTGGGGGGGGTGACCTTGCATTCCAGTCACTGTTTGCATTTCTGGCCCGAGCATTCGCTGTATTTTTGCTCTCGGTGTGGCCGTTCGGCCGCTGTCGACCCGAGGCAACTTCTCAGCGAATGTTCCCAGTGCTCTAAGAAAGGGCACGAGAATCTCCGTCGAATTCGCCGAGGTTTATTTCCTGGCCACAAGGGCCCCTCGGCCCCAGTTTTGGAGGCCGCCGTCAGTCGTGTCCGACGCGTTGAGGGGCGTCGGTTGATTCCTGGCTCTCGCTAGTCCCGCCTGCCACTGCGACTGTGGCGATCATGACACTCATGACATGACACTCCTCCTCCTCCTCCTCCTCCTCCTCCTCCTCCTCCTCCTCCTCCTCCTCCTCCTCCTCCTCTTCTTGGGTGCGTACCACATTCTGAGGCTGCGGACTCCACGCCACGCCCTGATGGGCACGGGGCGGGCTCCGGAGCGGAGCTCGCGCAACTCCGGCGTTCGGTCGCTCGTGCCTCCTCCGTTTTTCCCGCTCGGGCGAAACGCTGGTCGTGTAGGCCCCCTTGGCTCCTCTCCATGCAGAGTCCGGAGATCCTCCCGATGCACGGGGTACATCACCGACGCGCTCCGAAGGGGGATCCACCAGGGAACGCTCAGTCGCCACGGGCTGAGATGTTCATTCAGACGCTCACATGCAGAAGTGCCAGGAGCTGGCATGCATTGTGGTTGTTCCCGCGTGGAGTAGTTGTGTGCGCATGTAATGAGCAACTGGTGATTATTAGTTGGTTATGGTCCGCTCTTGGTCTCAATCATGTGTTGAATGTCCCTACCGTGTCGAGCTCACTCGCGCGATCTGTCTGTTTAATATATATATAATGTACATTTATACATCTATATATGCACCGTCTATGAAGGATATACAGACGCACACATAGATTGACATCATAAAGACACACACCCGTGCACTTGCATATGATAGCTAGTCGCGCCCGTTCTGGGTTAAGTTCCTTCTACAAAACTTCTACGTGCTCTGCATATTCTCTTGTCAGAGAGGTGACACTTTGTTCAAGGTGCGGAATGTCTAAGCCTCCCTCGAAAGCTCCCCCCTTCGCCCTTCCCTCGCCCATCGACTTGCTCGGGTCGGTCCGCGGGATGGCGGTCGCGACCCATGGGTTGCACCCTGTGCTCGCGGCCATCCTGCCCCTGAGTGCCAGGCTGGTGTGCGTGCAGCGAGCGCAAGGCCGCTGAGCGCCGGCAGCGGCGTGGGGCGCTCTTCGCTCCCTCTTCCTGACCGGTCTCTTTCGAAACCCTGGGTCTTTGGTCACCACCCACCAAACCACCCCAACCCAACCCGAAGGCTCAGATTTACCCTCGATTTCCAGTGGGGGGGTCGGGAACATCGAAAAAACACATGTGGAACCCTGACCCCCCCAACTGAAACTCGGGTCTTCAGGTTGGGTTGGGGTGGTCTGTTAGGTTGTCATTTGGATCCGTGCCAATTCATGATCCATGATCCCCCCTCGGCAGGGGGCACTCCCCCAGAAAGAGTCCAAAAATAGTCCAAAATTAGTCGGGGGGCTATTTGTTGAATATTTTGTTGGCCTTTCTGGGTTTTTTGGGGGGGTATTTTTGATTTTTCGTCGAAGCTCCCCCTGCAGAGGGGCACACGCCCGACATGACATGACCCTGGGGCGGTGCAGGCGCCGGCGCCCGCCGCGGCAGCACCCGCGGCTGCGCCCAGCGGCGCCGCGGCGCCGCGGCGGCCGCTGCCGAAACGGCGGGCCAGCACGGAGGCGGCGCCGGCTCCGGAGCCGCTGCCGGAGCCGGAAGATGAGGCGGCGGAGGGGGGGATTGGAGGGGTTTTTGGGCCTCCTCGGGTCCTGCTCTTCTCCCTCCTCCTGCTCCTGCTCCTCCTGCTACCTCTCCTCCTCCTCCTCCTCCTCCTCCTCCTCCTCCTCCTCCTCCTCTGCCTCGTCCTCTGCCTCGTCCTCGTCCTCGTCCTCCTCCTCCTCCTCCTCCTCCTCCTCCTCCTCCTCTCGACGGTGACGGCATGTCGCCCAACTCCGCTACATGGTGTCGACGGCGCCCCGAGAGTTGCGGTTGCGGCCCCGCGGGCCCAGCAGCCTAGATGGTGGATGGATGGTCCGCTCTCAGTGGCGACGGTTTCTCCTCCTCCTCCTCATCCTTCCTCCGCCTATTGCTGCTCCTCCTCCTCCTCCTCCTCTTTCCTCCTCCTCCTCCTCCTCCTCCTCCTCCTCCTCTCCTCCTCCTCCTCCTCCTCCTCCTCCTCCTCCTCTTCCCCGCCTCCTCCTCCCTCCTCCTCTTCCCCCCCGCCTCCTCCTCCTCCTCCTCCTCCTCCTCCTCCTCCTCCTCCGCCGTCTTTTCTCTGCATGAGCATCAGAAAGACAATTACCGTGTTGGGGGGATGGGGCTGGGAGAAACGAACAGATCATCCCCGCGAGACCCCGAGAAGCCTTCAAGAGGTCTCGCACGCACGTGTCACCCGACTTTCCCAGAGTGGCTTCCCCCCCCTCTCCTCTTGGGCTTCGCGGATGCGTCTGCTCAAGGCTCCTCCGCCCTTGAGAGGGAACTGGCCGCTGCTGGCCCTCCCGGACGGGAGCCAAATATGCAGCGTCAGAGTCGCAGGGACGACAGTGACCATCCCACCCACTTACCCCTATAGTTCAGCCGTGCGTGTCCCTCTACAGGAGGAATATTCAAAAATAGCAAAAACAAAAATTAGTCTGGGAACGACTTGTCGACTATTTTCGGTTATTTCCCAACCATCCTGTGGTGTTGGGTCCTCGTTTTGACGAGACAGCGCCCCGCGTTCCTCTCCTCCTCCTCCCACTCCTCCTCCTCCGCCTCCCTCCCTCCATACGCCTCGTCACCCCCCTGCGTTTCACTCACCCAGGACAGCGCTTCGTGGCCCCATAGGGAGCTCCACCGAAGGCCCCAGTGGCAGGGCTCGCATGCGCCACCCCGCCTATTTCGGCACACCCCTCACACGGTTCGTGGCCCCATAGGGAACTCCTCCGAAGGCCCCAGCGGCAGGCTTTGCATGCGTCCCCCCGCCTATTCGGCAAACCCATCACACGGCTCGTTGCCCCATAGGGAGCTCCGCCGAAGGCCCCAGCGGCAGGGTTTGCATGCGTCCCCCCGCCCATTTCGGCAAACCCCTCACACGGTACGGGGCCCCATAGGGGGTTCCCCCGAAGGCCCCAGCGGCAGGGTTTGTAGGCGTCCACCCGCCCATTTCGGCATACCCCTCTCACGGTTCGTGGCCCCATGGGGAGTTCCACCGAAGGCCCCAGCGGCAGGGTTCGCATGCGTCCCCCCGCCCATTTCGGCACACCCCTCTCACGGTTCGTGGCCCCATCGGGGGCTCCTCCGAAGGCCCCAGCGGCAGGGTTTGCATGCGTCCACCCGCCCACTTCGGCATACCCCTCTCACGGTTCGTGGCCCCATAGGGAGCTCCACCGAAGGCCCCAGCGGCAGGGTTTGCATGCGCCCCCCCGCCCATTTCGGCACACCCCTCACGAGGATCGCGGCCCCATAGGGAGCTCCACCGATGGCCCCAGCGGCAGGGTTTGCATGCGTCCCCCCGCCGAGGATCGCGGCCCAATAGGGAGCTCCACCGAAGGCCCCAGCGGCAGGGTTTGCATGCGTCCCCCCGCCCATTTCGGCACACCCCTCACGAGGAATCGTGGCCCCGTAGGAAGCTCCACCGAAGGCCCCAACGGCAGGGTTTGCATGCGTCCCCCCGTCCATTTTGGCACACCCCTCTCAGGGATCGTGGCCCCATGGGGAGCTCCACCGAAGGCCCAAACGGCAGGGTTTGCATGCGCCCCCCCGCCCATTTCGGCACACCCCTCACGAGGATCGTGGCCGCATGGGGAGCTCCACCGAAGGCCCCAGCGGCAGGGTTTGCATGCGTCCCCCCGCTCATTTCGGCACTTTCTTCGCGAGGATCGTGGCCCCGTAGGGAGCTCCACCGAAGGCCCCAGCGGCAGGGTTTGCATGCGTCCCCCCGCCCATTTCGGCACACCCCTCACGTGGATCGTGGACCCATAGAGAGCTCCACCGAAGGCCCCAACGGCAGGGTTTGCATGCGTCCCCCCGCCCATTTTGGCACACCCCTCACGAGGATCGTGGCCCCATGGGGAGCTCCACCGAAGGCCCCAGCAGCAGGGTTTGCATGCGTCCCCCGCCGATTTTGGCACACCCCTCATGGCCCCATGGGGATCTCCACCGAAGGCCCCAGCGGCAGGATTTGCATGCGCCCCCCCGCCCATTTCGGCACACCCTTCACGAGGATCGTGGCCGCATGGGGAGCTCCACCGAAGGCCCCAGCGGCAGGGTTTGCATGCGTCCCCCCGCCCGTTTGGGCACACCCCTCACGAGGATCGGGCCCCATAGGGAGCTCCACCGAAGGCACCAGCGGCAGGGTTTGCATGCGTCCCCCCGCTCATTTCGGCATATCCCTCACGAGGATCGTGGCCCCATAGGGGGTTCCACCGAGAGCGGTACCCACAACGCGGCACTCACAGCTGCATATGGTGGGCCCCTCGCCAGGATAAGTTTGAGTATTGTGTATTACTTTCAAGTTTTCGTCCGAAATCCGCTTGTAGGAGGAGATGCTTGACCTCCTCCTGCGCCGAGGCTGGCTGGTCTTGCCAGCTTGTCCGAAAGATTGGCTGAGATCTGCTCTGGCGACTCGCGACGTACAGCAGCATTTACGACGTCTCCACATCTCCGATTGTGGTACTTCCGCATGCAGCTAGTCGCAGCGACTACACCGCCCAGGAAATACGCGGGCCCATTGGGCTTCGCAATGGTCTCCATCTGAGCCGCATCACCGACGACGCAATGACGGACATAAGAAGCGGTGGAAGCATACTGCATTGAAAATGACTTACTATCCCAGGGGTGAGTCGGCGGCGAGCGAGAGGGGGAAGCGAGAGGAGGAGGCCTCCTCAAAAGGCTCCGAAGTCTCCTGGCCTTGTGAGAAGTGTTCTAAGCCTTCACCGAAAACATTAAACCATGTTTTTGCTTAGAGCGATTCCCACCGAAACCTTCGGCGTTTGGTCACAACGGTGCGCGCGCCTACTGGAAGGATGCGCGCAGTACCCTGCGGCGTCGGCCAGCGCGGCGACCGGGCCAGGTCGCAAGATGATGTTATAATAGATTACGACTTGCTATGCTAGTATGTGGCGATGTGCTGTATTGTCGTGTTCTGATATGTGATGCGATGAAGTATAATGATATGGGATGTTCTGCCAAGGTGTCTTCTGGGTTCCTCGGTTATGCTATGCTACGCTGTGCTTTGCCGCCTTCTATTATACCTTGATGTGCTATGCTGTGCTATGTGATGTTCATGCAGGCACTATGTTGTCATGCTGTTGCTATGCTAAGTCTGTCATGGTATGTCATACTAGTGTTACGGTATGGTATAGTACTGTGTGACATGTTGTGTTCTGGCCTGTTCGCCGATATGTTATGCTGTCGTCTTGTGATATGATTGGTTACGCATGACATGAAATGTTCTTTCAATGTGGCTTATGTTATGATAGGTTATGCTGTAGTTTGTTGTGCCATGCCGTTTTCTAGTATGTAATGTTCTGTTCTGGTATGTTATGTGATATGTTATGATGTACTCTGTGTTGTCATGATATTGATATTATATGTTCTGCCATGTTCTGTCATGCTCCTGTTCTGTTCTGCCATGTTATCTTGTGTCAGATTGTGTTCTGTCGTGTTTGTCGAGGGCGTCAGGCGGGATACCCGGGGTTCTCGGGACAGCTTGGGGTCTGGCGGCTGCGGTTTTCAGGGCGTGGTCTGTCGTGTTTGTCGAGGGCGCGAGGCGGGATAACCGGGACACTCAGGACAACCTTGGGTCGGGCGGCCGCGGTATGCAGGGTGGGAGTGGTCAGGAGGTTCGTTCTTAAAATCTAGCGACCCCAACTTGTCCGGTGGGGAAAAACCTCGCAGAAGGCCGGAACGCCTTTGAGAAGCCCCGCCGCCTTCTGAGAAGGCCTTCTCCTTCTCGTTTTCCCCCCTCGCTCGCCGCCGATTGAGGCCCCCCCGCCATAAAGTGCCCCTTGAGGGCCCGCTTCTCTTCACCCCCCATCTGCCCATCTGTCGTTGAAAGTCGGTCTCTCGGGACTCCCAGCTTCCAGTCTGCTTTCAGCGCCTTCCTATTTCAATGATCGCATGGCCTTGCCTTTTCCGTCCTCCCAGGGGGCGGACGGAATCCGATCTGTTTTCAACGCCTTCCTACGTCATGCTTCTACCCGCTCCTTCCGACCGATGGGCAGGGCACCGCCCACTGCCCCCCGCACGAGAGCCTCGCCCGGGCGCAGGGCCTGTCCAGGACCGCGGCCCCCCTGCAGGGCGCGGCGGCCGTCGCGACCTCTCGCGCTCATCGCACGGCGCCAGGCGCGTGGTCGGCGGGCCCCCGGGCTCGGCTCCTGCTCTCTTTCTCTCTCTCTCTCTCTCTCTATTTCTCTTTCTCTCTTTCGTTTTTTCTGTCCGTCGTCCTCCCCACGTCCCGCCTCCCTCCCTCCCTCCCTCCCTCCTTCCCTCCCCTCCCTCCCTCCAACCCCCCGCCCAGACTCCCTCCTTCCTCCGTCCATGCCCCTCTCCTTCTCCGCCCCTCTCCCCACTCGCTCTCCCCCATTCCTCCTCCTCCGCCCCGTCCTCATCCTCCTCCTCCTCCTCCTCCTCCTCCGCCTCCTCCTCCTCCTTCTCCTCATGGTCCTCCTCCTCCTCCTGCTCCTCGTCCTTCTCCTCCTTCTCCTCTTCTTCCTCCCGCTTGCAGCTGCCCTCTGGAATCTCCAGAAGCCTTCCAGAACTGCCAGGCTCCGAAAGGCTGCCGAAAGCCCTCGTAAATCTCCGAACTCGTCCCAGCGTATCCCCCAGTGCTCCTTCCCCAAGTCGGCACAATAGGACCCATAAGTCTAAGACGGATCTCACCATGCGTCCAACATTTTGTCCAGCAGATCTTGGCGACGCTCCCGGAAGCCTCCCGACGGTCCCCAGAGGTCTCAGGGTGTCTCCACAGCTCTGGCTCGGGAGGTCACGGAAGGGATAGCCACGTACAATCACGTGCAAAAGCGTTTAGATTCAACGACAACAATGACGACCACGACCACGACGGCGGTGGCGCCTGCGGCGACGGCGGTGGCGGCCTGGAACCTGTGGGGCCTCCCTCGGCCACCTTAGAAGTCACTTGCGGGGTCTGGAACACATTCGGAGCCTTCCCACGCGTTCTGCGGCGCTCTCAGACGACTCCGCGACCGCCCCCGCAGAGCCCCGAGCTATCCCGCAAAAGGCCCGGCACCTTCACGCGCCAATGACGGCCTACGCCTGCGGCGCATCTCTCTTGATACATTAGGATTCGTGGGTTCGTGCGCAGCCTACCGACAACGAGTGAGGAGTATCACCGAGCGCCTTCCGCTACTCTCAATGTGCCTATTCGCAAACACGTCAGCACAAAGCAGGCCTTTGTTTATGTAATGGATGGTACATCCCCCGCGGCGGAGCCCGGCCATTTGCGAGTAGCTACTGTGCGAGTAGCGGAACTTGCTCGTCTAGAATCGGCTAGAACCTACGTGCGCGCGTAGCGCGCGCGTGGTTCGATTGTGCGGAGGTTATTAAACAAAATCACACAGATAGGGGGTTCGCCCTCGCTCGTTCCTCGGTCGCGTGGGGCGAATCCACCAAGGAACAGGCAGACGTGTAGATTCTACGCTCTGCTTCCTCTCCCTCCTTCTCGTCGTCGTCGTCCTCCTCCTCCTGCTCCTCCTCCTCCTCCTTCACCTCCATCTCCTTCTCCTCGTCCTGGTCCTGCTCCTCCTCCTCCTCCCCCCCCCTCCTAGGCTTCCTCCCCCTCCTCCTCCGCCTCCTCATCCCCCTTCTTATCCCCCTCGCCCTCCTCCTTCTCCTCCTCCTCCTCCTCATCCGCCTCTTCCTCCTCCTCCTCCTCCTCCTCCTCCTCCTCCTCCTCGCCCTCCTTATCTTTCCTCCTCCTCCTCGCCCTCCTTCTCTTCCTCCTCCTCCTCGCCGGCCTCCCCCTGCGCCCCCCTGTGCTCCCTCCTGGAAGCGGGGGGCAGGCCACGGACCCAGAGGTCGAGTCGGACTTCGACCCCGAGGTCTACCGAGAGGAGAGGCGGAGAAGGCGAGAGGGAGGTGCGCGGGAGGCGGCGCGCGGGGGCAAGCCGCCGGAGGCCTTCGCCGCCTCATCCGAATCCGCGTCCGTCTCCCCAGAGCTCGTGGGCATCGCTCGGAAGTGGGGTTAGGGGAACTAAGTCGGGGGTGGACAGACCTCCTACCCTGACGCGTCGATTAAGGAATGGGCCGTTTTCGGTTCGCGAGAATGCGTCGCGGCCGTCATTTTTGCGGGTCCAGGTCCGCCGGTTTCGGTCCCAGGCCGTTTTCACTAAGGGGAGGTCTACTAAAGGGACGTTTGTCCACCGCCGACTAAGCATGGCATAAACTTTGAAAACTCGGAGGTCCGCGCGGATTTCTTGGATCCGCGCTGGACCCCTCTCCCTGGCGCGCGGAGCGCGCCAGGGGCGGCGCCGGAGGCGCCGCCAGGTGGCCCCAGCGCCGATCCAAGAAATCCGCGCGGACCTCCGAGTTTTTTCTGTCTGTGTCATTGGTCGTCCCCCTGTCATTGTTCGTTCCCCTAGATGTTGCTCAGGAGGGGATGCATCAGACAAGGGCTCCCTCGAGGGCGCGAAGTTATTCGCGCTTCGCGCTTCGCGGTCCTCGTTCCTTCTCCCCCTCCTCCTCGTCCTCCTATTCTCCCTTTGGGAGGGCGGCGCGAGAGCGCGAAGTTATTCGCGCTTCGCGCTTCGCGCAGCGCGAAGCGCGAAGTTGGGAGCCCTAGATCAGACCCGAATCGCCCATCGATCGCCGATGGGGGTCTGATAGTCCAGCCCTCCCCGCAGCGCTCGCTCTCGCTACTCGGGGCCGATCGTCGATCGATCGACGATGTAGCGCCGATTCAAGCTGATGTTTCCCCGCTGAACAGGTCCCCATACAACGTAGCCCCTCAAGACCTCCGACGTCGCGATGTTTATAATACTGGCGCTTTCCAAATTGTTGCCTTCGGGAGCTGTTTTAATCAGCAAGCTGCCCGCGATGAAACACCGTCCTTGGGAAATGGGTCGGTGTCTCCAAGGTCCACGGACTGAAAAAGCGCGGACTGAAAAGCCCAACCCCTTGTCCCCCTCCCCTCTTTCACCAGGCCTCTCCCTTAAAAGTATTCTCTCGCTGGAAAGCCACGTGTGTCGGCACGCACCGGCGATCGGAACGTGTCGCCCGAGATTTCTCCGCAACATGTCACAGTTTCAGGCCAGAAAAACGTCCAACAGCCGCACGGATGGAGGACGGGTGTTTTGAAGCACGTCTTCTCTTGTTGGGATGTCTCTCAACGCTCCACCTTTCATGTCATTGGAGGGGTAACTGCGGATGGATGGGGCCGTTTTTTCATCATCTGCGCGTCTTGCTTCTCAGGCCGTCTTGGAGCGGTTTCGGGCGCCTCTTGGGCGGTGCTTTAGCGCCAGAAACACGAAACAGCGAGAATGCAAAAACACGTTTAACCAAAAAACAGTGAACATCAACGATTTTGTCTTCTCGGGGCGCTCTTGGGCGGCATATAGAAAGGCCTCTGGGGGCGTCATGGGGGCCTCCGGGGCAATTTAAAACGCATCGTGCGTCGCCAGAGACCCCTGGACGGCGTCTTGGGGAGGTCTCGAGACCGTCTGGGGCCGCCGTTGCGCCACTCTTGAAACTTCCTGGAGTCCTGTTGGCCTCTGGGGCGCCTTTTCGGGGCCTCCTGGGGGCCTCAGGGGGCGGCCTCTTCTGGGCCTTTTGGGCGTCATAGGGTTCTCTTGGTCCCTCCGACTCCTGTGGAAGCCGTCTTGGGGACCTCTATGTGCCGTGTTGCCGCCCTTTTCAGGCGTTTTACGGCCGTCTTGGTGTGTTCTTGGAGCCGTCACGGGGGGCTCTTGGACAGTCTTGCAGCTCTCTTGGCTCGTATTGTGGGCTTGCTGTGCCGTCTCGAGGCTATCTCGGAGGCCTCTTCGGGCCGTGGTGGGTTGTTGGAAGCCCGCACAACGAGAATGCGAAAATGGTTCAACTGTAGATAAGAACTAGTGGTGTTGGCCTCTTCGGGCCCTCCTGGAGGGCCTCTTGAAGCCCTCTTGAGCCGTATCGGGACCATGTTGGGTCGCCTGGGAGCTAGCTTTGACCGTCTCGATGCCATTTCCGGATATTGGGGCCATGTTCGACGGAGAACCAACAGACTGTACCTTTTTCCGCCGGGCCAGCGGCTTGGCCTGGAGACCAGCGGGATTTTTTGGAGGGGCCGAATAATTATCTTTGAAGCATCTTGGTGATCTTTAGTGAACTTGGCCTTTGAGGTCTTTCGGGGGCCTCCGGGTGCCTTTTGGGGTCATATCAGGGGCCTGTTGGCGGTCTCAGGGACCGCTCGAAGATCAGTCCGGTTTCCCCTCTCGGGCCCCTCTTGCGCCGGTCTTGGCGGGGCATCGTGGGCCTTCCTGGGGACTGTCGTTGGACGATCTTTGGCGCTCAGGGCCTCGTCGGCCAGTTTGGACGTTGTTCAGACCGAGTGTCTGGAGAGTGTTAACAGTGTACAAAAAGGTCTGGTGTTACTCAATGGTTTGGGCCTCCTAGGCCAGCCCCCTCCCTCAGGGCCGCCCGGACCGCCCAAGAGGCGCCCAAGAGGGCTCAAGCTCGGGATTTGTGACCATTTGACGTCACGCCGCAAGCGAAGAGTTCCAACCACGCTCCCGAGGTCTCTGAAACAGCTATGCGGGGATTCCCGCTTGCGCGCAAGAGCGCCCTGGGAGTGCCCAGAACACCTGGCTCCTTGCCCTTTGACAAGCATTCACAATATGTAATGGAGGCGAACGATTTGCTTGCGATACTCATTACGATTAGGATGCGTACCAACTGTGACAGCTTTGGAAGGATATGGGTGTGTTGACAGGGGAGGTGGACCGCGAGGAGGACGAGGACGAAACAAGCGCACTGCGGAGATGATACACAATTTCCTTCTCCTTCGTCCTCGCTGTTTCTTGCCGCCGATACCCCACCAAGTGCGTTCAGTCTTCGCATGCCAGGCCGGCGATGAGGGTGAGGCCACGGATCCTGACGTTGAGTCGGATTTTGATCCTGTGAGCTACGCGGAGGAGCGGAAGCGGAAGCTGGCAGCCTTGCCTCTCCAGGACGCGTTCTTTTTTTTGTTGTTGTTGTCGCGGGTGTCAGCGGGGTTGAAGAAGGAACCCTTTTCGTTGGGGAGGGGCTCTGTGTTCCTTAAGTGTTGCACAGTTTGCCTCAGGTTTTGCTCATGCTTTCGATGGGGAATCGAAGTTTGACTTATGGAAACAGGGGCCTCGTTCCTTATTTGGGGTTCCTTAGGTCAACGCCCCGACTGTACAGCTCTTGCCCCCGTGGAGCTTCTCCCCTGGACGGGGGCGCAGGCCTGCCTGTGCTGCACTGGGGGGGGGAGACGGGGGAGGGGGGGACGAGCTCTGGAGCTCCGCGTCGGAGGGAGGCGCCCCGGCCGCCGGGAGCTGCGAGACGCCTGCCTCCTAGGCAGGCAGGCGGCACCCTCGCGTGGTCGTGCCCGGCCCGCGCGGGGCGGCCGCGGCAGCGGTGGGCGGACGGCTCCCGACGGGCAGTCTCGCGGAGGCTCGAGCACAGTCGCAGGCCTAGAGGTTGGAGAGAGCGTGATCCACCGCCGCTTTACTGTGGAAAAATTGCCAACCTTTTCCTCCGGAACCCGGGTCGCCCCCCCCCCCCCCCCCCCCTCCGAAAATCCCCCCCCCCCCCTGCTGGAACCCCTCCACCCCCCCCCCCCTCTCCCCCGGCAAAACCCCCCCCTCCCCTCACCCCTCCCCCCCCCCCCCCCTCCCCTCGAAAACCGGGGGGGGTCACTACCGGTTCGAACCCCCTCCCCCCCCCCTCCGGATCCCCCCTACCCCCCCTCCCCCCCACCCCCCCCCTTACCCTTCGGATCCGGAAAACCGGAGGGGGTCACTACCGGTTCGACCCCCCCCCCCCCCCCCCCCCCCCCCCCCCCCCCCCCCCCCCACTCACCGCCAGCAAACGACTCCCGGTCCCCACCACCGTCCGCATCACATCCCCCACTGGTGTTCCCAGCACCACTGTCCTCACCACCACTGTCCCCACTGGTTCCACCACCGCCCCTACTGTCCCCACCAGTGCCCCCACCACTGTCGCACTGTCCCCGCTGTCCCCAGAACTGTTCCCACCACGGTTCCACTCTCCCCACTGTCTCCACGGCCCCAACCACTGCCCGACTATCCCCACTGTCCCCACTGTCCCACTGACTCCTCCGCTGTCCCACTGAGCTGTCCCACTGTTCCCACCACTGTCCCCACTGTCCCCACCACTGTCCCCACTGTACCTTTGTCCCATTGTCCCACCGCCGTCCTCGCCACCGCCTTCACCACTGTCCCCACCACCATTGTACCCTCCACTGTCCCACTGTTTCCACCTCATTCCCATTGTCCCCACACCACTGTCCCCACCACCACCGTCACCACCACTGTCCACTGTCCCCCCCTGTTCCCACCATTGTCCCCACCACTGTCCCCACCACTACCGTCCCCACCACTGTCCCACTGTCCCACTGTCCCCACCACTGTCCCGCTATCCCCTCACCACTGTCCCCACCAACACCGTCCCCACCACTGTCCGCACCCCCACTCGGTTTTCGAGGGGGGGGGGGGGTTCGAACCGGTAGTGACCCCCCCGGTTTTCGGGGGGGGGGGGTGAGGGGTTCGAACCGGTAGTGACCCCCCCCCCTTTTCATGATGAGCTGGGGGGAGGGGGGGGGAGGAGGGGTTCGAACCGGTAGTGACCCCCCCCGGTTTTCCTGAGGGGGGGGGGGGAGGGGTTCGAACCGGTAGTGACCCCCCCCGGTTTTCCGCCAGCAGCGGTAGAACACGCTCTTAGAGGTTAGCACCAACACCAATATCGGCGGTGTGCCTCCACCGAGAGAAGAAGGTCCCGATCTCGGTGATGGTCGTAATATTCAGGCTTCCAAGGTGACCGAACTATTACCACCAACACCGAAATCAAGGATCATATTCCGCTAATGGAGGCACACCGCCGATTCTGGTGTTGGTGCCCATTTCCAGGCCCTCAACACTGGACAAAGAGCTGAGCCGTCGCATCTCTCGGCTCGAGTCGCCCCATGATGGATCAGCTCGGGTCGGGCATGTCCATCTACAGGCGGAGTACTTGTTCGAGAATTAGCCAAAACACAGTATGGTGACGATTTTTAGACTGTTTGCTCGGGTTTGATTTTTCCTGGACTGTGTTTCGGTTTTCCTCCAAAGCCCGCCTGGAGGAGGACATGCCCGACCTGCAGATGAGCTCGACTACAGTCGGGCCGCTGAAAGAAGGGACGCTAAATCAGGAACGACGCCCCCTCTTGGCCCTGTAAGCGCCTCCGTGCCCCAGGAGGGCAAGAGGAACAGCACTGCAGAGGAACCTAAGGTTAAGTCGGGCCTGTCCCTCTTCAGGAGGAACATTCAGAAAAAGTCAAAAAATAGTCGGGGAGTATGTTTTGAGCATGTTTCACCATTTTGGAGCATTTGTTGCGTATTTCTTATTTCTCATCGAAAATTCCCCTGTAGGGGGACAGGCACGACTTAAACCTAAGAAACATCGAGCCCCTCCCGAACCCAAACCGTTCCTTCTTCCCGCGTCTTGACCGTGCCGGGGAAGGGACTGCACCCTCCGGCCGCCCGAGGCCCCGCCCGCCCGCGCCCTGTCTCCCCAATTAGTGCTTTGCGCGCCCCGCCTAGCTCTGAACCGGAAGAGGCCCGCTCTCGACCCGCCGACCAAAAAAAAAACGGTGCCGGGAGGGGCCCGGCGAGCCCAGGAGCCCCTCGGCGGGCGGGCCGCGCAGAGCGCCGGACGGGGGTTCGCGCCGCGACCGCAGCGGCGGGAGCGCTCCGTCGGCACGCTCCGGGCCAGGCTCTCCTGGGCCCCCCTGGTTTTTGGGAGTCCCGATCGCGGGGGCCTCCTTCGCCGTCGTCCGCGGCGTCGCCGCCGGTTCTGAGGGCGGCCGGCCTCGTGCCCGGCCGGGCCTTCGCGGGCACCAGGGTCGCCCCGCGCGGCGGCGTCTCGGGCCTCCTCGGTGCCTGCCCAAGGTCCCGCCTAAAGCCTGAAGCCGACGCTCACACACGACCCCCTCCCCATCCGGTAGGTCGCAACTGAAATCACCATCAGCTGTAAAACGACGCGAAGATCGGGACAAAATCGGATCGGGATAACTCGAAATCTCTGAGAATCGGCGGGTTTGGAGGATGTATTGTGCGCCGCGGCCGCTCCAGAGCGTTCCGGAACGCTCTGAGAGCGCTCCAGAACGCTCTGGAGCGATTTATCCCGATCCTAGCCCTGTTTTAAGCTGACCAATCAGGCTCGGGAACAGGGACCTCGGTCGGACGAGCTCGAAGGAGCCTCTCAGCACGACACTGTTGCACATCGATGCTTTGGAAGGCCTCGAACCCCCGCGTGTTGCCCCTGAACGTGTTCGTAAGGTCCCCCCCCCCATAGCCTCCACCACCGCCTCCCCTCCTTCGTGATACCCATGTAGGACAGGAGGGGGAGGAGGAGGGGGAGGAGGAGTAGGAGGAGGAGGAGGAGGAGAAGGAGGAGAAGGAGGAAGAGGAGGAGGAGGAGGAGGAGGAGGAAACGGAGGAGGAGGAGGAAAAGGGGGAGGAGGAGGAGGAGGAGGAGGAGGAGGAGGAGGAGGAGGAGAAGGAGGATTGTCCTAATCGTTCCCTGGCTGCCCAGGTCCTCGCGGGGGCGCGAAGACAAAAGCGCGCTTCTCCTCGGCCAGGTCGGCCGCCCTCCCCCAGAGAGGGGGCGACGGCAGGGCGCGAGGGCGCGATCAGAAGCACGCGCCGCGCATCACCAGGGGGAGTGGGGGCGGGGACGTTGGGCGACCTACAGTCAAAACTCATGGTAGGGACGCGCGGATGTCCCCAGGGTGCCCTTGCGTCCTTGCCTCTGCGGCCCGTCCTTCGCGGCTTTCATTGCCCAGCCATTCAGGGTGTTGGTAGTCCGCCGCCCAAAAAGCACCAACTTCGGCGTCCATGGGGCCTTGCGTCCTTACCGCCCGTCCTTATCAGAAATTTCGATTATACTGTCGGGGCGCCACATAAGGAGCCAGTTTCGTTTGGGAGGGACTCCGTGTCCCTTACTTGTTTCGCAGTTTGCCTGAGGCAGTTCTTAGGTTTTCGATGGGAGATCGAAGTTCCCTTGTGGAAGAAAAGGGCCTTGTTCCTTATCTAGGGTTCCTTAGGTCAACGCCCCGACAGTAGATCTGGCTGGAAAACCAGCACATCTGGCCAATCGTTCCTTCATCTCGAGGAAAATAAAACCCAGTACAAAGAAACTTGTGGCGCTCCGCGCAGATTTCTTGGATCCGCGCTGGGGCCCCCCGGGGCGGCGCCTCCAGCGCCGCCCCTGGCGCGCTCCGCGCGCCAGGGAGGGTGGTCCAGCACAGATCCAAGAAATCTTCTCGGAGCGCCAAAAGTTTATGTGTATACCGCTGTAAGTTCCTCTAGAGGGGACCCGTTGTGTGGAGCGCGCGCGCGCTGGAAGGGCAGGAGACGGAAAACAACGGTGAGGAGATGGCAGAGGAGGACGAGATGGGGAGTAGGAAGATAGGGTGCTCGAATGGTTTCGGCGGGCATCGAATGCAATCGGAGGCTTCCCACCGGGGGCAGGGAGGTGGGAGGAGGAGGGGAGGATGTGGACGGATGCGGATGTATGTTCTAGTCCTTCGTTGGACCTCTCCAGTCGGGCCGTGCTCCGTGGAGGAGGGGGAGGGGGGGGGAGGGAGGGGAGGCGGGAAGGAGGAGTGGAGGAAGACGACAACGAGGGAGAGCAGGATGAGGAGGCGGATGAGGAGGAGGTGCATGATGACTCCGTGAACGCATCGGCTGCTGCACATGCGGATTTCTCAGTCTTTGTGTGGAGAGCACGTGGGGAGGAGGAGGTGGAAGATGAATATCAGGAGGTCGTGGGGTTGGAGAAGTTCAACTCCCTGATCCCAGATTTTGGGCGTCGCTGTCATGTTCATCCCGGGGGGCCCCAGAGCTCCCGACCAGCGCGCGGTCGTCATTGTCGTCGCAGTCGTCTTCGCCGGAGGAGGAGGAGGGGACTTCTCGTCCTCCTCCTTATCCTCCTCCTCCTCCTCCTCCTCCTCCACTCCTCTTCCTTTAACTCCTCCCTGTCGCACCCCGAGGTCAGCGGAATGGCGACCCAAGGGCACCCTGGATGACGGGGCGCGTCCTTACTTGGTGCATTGATTGTAAGAGAGGAGGAGGAGGAGGAGGAGGAGGAGGAGGAGGAGGAGGAGGAGGAGGACTAAGAAGAAGAAGAGGAATATAATAATACTAATATTAATAATAGTAAGAAGAAGAAGAAGAGGAGGAGGAGGAGGAGGAGAGAAGGAGAGAAGGAGAGAAGGAGGAGGAAGAGAAGGAGGATGAGGACCAGGCGCAGGAGGAGGAGGCGGAGGACGAGGCCGAGGACGAGCACGAGGACAAGAAGAGAGGAGGAGCCCCGAACGACTGCTGCGCGGGCACGCCCGGCTCGCCCACCTCCCTGCCCCTGCCCCCCCCCCCGCCGTGCGGAGGACGCCAAGCGGCACCGCGCGGCCGACGAAGCCGCCAGGAACGGCAGGTCCCACCGGGACGAGGCGCGGTCCGCTGCTCGAGCTTTTCGCACCCCTCTCGGGTCTGCGGACAGGGCGGGTTCTGGCCCCAATGCTCTCGCGGGTGGTCGCGTTCGGGGGTTCCGCCCCCCCCATTCCCCCCCCCTCCCTCCCCCATCCCCTTCCTCCCTCGTCCTCCCTCCTCTTTCTCGTTCCTAGTTGCTCCTCCTCCTCCTCCTCCTCCTCCTCCTCCTGCTCCTCCTCCTCCTGCTCCTCCTCCTCCTGCGCCTCCTCCTCCTGCTCCTGCTCCTCCTCCTCCTCCTCCTCCTCCTCCTCCTCCTCCTCCTCTTCTCTGACAGTCAGTGCACCCAGTAAGGACGGGCCCCGTCATCCAGGGTGCCCTTGTGTCCTTGCCTCTGCAGCCCGTCCTTTGCCGTGTTCACTGCTCGCCCGCCGCCCCAACAAACTTCCCAACTTCGGCCTCGAAGGGTCTTGCGTCCGTACTGGCCGTCCTTGATGCACGTTTGACTTTAACTCCTCATGCTACGCCTCCCCTGGGGTTTAGGAGACTGCATGGCTGCATTGAAGTTAGGGACGGGGCGGTGCGAAAGCTGCTGCGTGTCGCTGGTGTTTGCTCCGCCGCTGAGCGCGTTCCTCGAAGCGTTGGCTGCCTCCAGCGCCTGACTGTGGGACGCGTAGGGGACACTGGCGACGTACGCAAGCTGATTCGATAACCTGCCCTTCGTCGAAGAAGACAAAAACATAACCATAACTTTTAGCGCTCCGCGCGGATTTCTGGGATCGCCGCTGGGGCCCCTCGGGCGGCGCCTCCGGCGCCGCCCCTGGCGTGCTCCGCGCGCCAGGGAGGGGGTTCCATCGCGGATCCAAGAAATCCGCGCGGAGCGCCAAAAGTTTATGTTTATGTCGTTGTTTATTCTTCTACTTTACTGCCCCATCCCTTTCGTCCGAACCGATCTTGGCTGCCCTGAAACGCCCGTGCTGAAACGCAGCACGGCGTGCCTGCCTCAACACGTCTGGGCGAACCACGTTGCGTGCTGGTTGGCCTACGTGTTTTGCTGACGTATCGCACCAGGCCGACGGTATCGATCTGCGTGTTGAATTCCGTGCTGGCACTCTGGGTTGCGTGGCTCGTGCAATCGAGTTCGCACCTCTTTTTCGTTGCATCCTCGGGGGACCTCGCCTGTCCCCAAAATTGGTTTCTTTTCCTGTGCCCGACGCGGGCTCGATGCCGACTCGACGCGGACTTGGCGTGTATTCGACGCGGATTCGACACGAATTCGACACGGATCCGACGAGGCCAACGTGGATTCGATACGGATTCGACGCCGAAAAGGCCGCGACGGAACAGCCAAGATCCCCCGAGGATACAACATAACGGTTCTTGGCGGATTGGGCAAAACATTGATGATATTGATGACGATGATGATGATGATGATGATGAGGTTGATGATGATGATGATGATGATGCTGATGCTGATGATGATGATGATGATGATGATGTTGATGACGATGATGAGGATGAGGATGAGGATGAGGATGAGGATGATGATGATGACGACGATGATGATGGCGATGGTGATGATGATGATGAGGATGAGGATGAGGATGAGGATGAGGATGAGGATGATGATGATGATGATGATGATGATGATGATGATGATGATGATGATGATGATGGTGGTGATGGTGATGGTGATGATCATCATGATGATGTTGATGATGATATTTATCATGATGATGCTGATGATGATGCTGATGATGGAAGGGGCGTGTTCTACCGCTACTGGGGGGTCACTGGGAGTTCCTAACCCGTCCCCCCCTCTCGAAAACCGAAAACCGGAGGGGGTCACTACCGGTTCGACCCCCCCCCCGCCGCCGGCAAACGATGCCCGCTCCTCGGGACAGTTGGAGAATAGTGGGGATGTTGGGACAGTGGTGGGAACGGTGGTGGTGGGGACAGTGGTGCGGGGACAGTGGGACAGTGGTGCGGACAGTGGTGGGGACGGTGGTGGTGGGGACAGTGGTGAGGGGACAGCGGGACAGTGGTGGGGACAGTGGGAAAGTGGTGAGGACGGTAGTGGTGGGGACAGTGGTGAAGGCGGTGGTGAGGACAGTGGTGGGACAGTAGTACAGTGGGGAAAGTGGCGGGGACAGTGGGGACAGTGGGACAGTGATGGGGACAGTGGGGACGGTGGGACAGCACAGTTGGACAGCGGCGGGGACAGTGGGACAGTGGTGGGAACAGTGGGGACAATGGGACAGTGGTGGGGACCGTGGGGAAAGTGGAGAGAGTGGAACCGTGGTGGGACAATGGCGGGGAGAGTGGGGACAGTGAGACACTGGTGGGGGCACTGGTGGGGAGCGGGGACAATGGTGGGGACAGTGGGGACAGTGGGACAGTGGTGGGGACGGTGGTGGTGGGGACAGTGCTGTGGGGACAGTCAGTGGGAATGCGGTGGAAACAGTGGGAGAATGGAGGGTACAGTGGTGGTGGCGACAGTGGTGAGGGCGGTGGCGAGGACGGCGGTGGGATAATGAGACAGAGGTACAGTAGGGACAGTGGTGGGGACAGTGGGGACAGTGGTGGGAACAGTAGGACAGTTCAGTGGGACAGCGGCGAGGACAGTGGGACAGTGGGGACAGTGGGACAGTGGTTGGGGCCGTGGAGAAAGTGGGGAGAGTGGAACCGTGGTGGGAACAGTGGTGGTGACAGTGGGGACAGTGCGACAGTGGTGGGGGCACCGGTGAGTACAGTGGTGACGGTGGTGGGAATAGTGGGGACAATGGTGGTGAGAACAGTGGTGCTGGGGACAGCAGTGGGGGACGTGGTGCGGACGGTGGCGAGGACCCAGAGTTGTCTGCTGGCGGTGAGCGGGGTGGGGGGGGGAAGGGTTCGAAGCGGTAGTGACCCCACCCGGTTTTCGAGGAGAAGGGGGGGGTTCGGACCGGTAGTGACCCCCCCCCCGTTTTTCGAGGGGGGGGGGGGGCAGGGGTTCGAACCGGTAGTGACGTACCGTTTCTTCGCGAGGGTGATCAGGGCGAAGTGAGTTCAGGCAAACTTGGTTTCATGTTTGAGCATGGTGGCCATCGAACAACGCGTCATTTCATCAGCCCCCGCGTCGATTTGTCAGGCACATCGCAGCTTCCAGTGTTCCCCGGGCGAAGACCAGACCAACGAGTATTACGAATTCCTGAAAGATCACGCGCTTGCGGACATTCATCCCGATATACCTGAGTTGCGGAACTTACGAGCCTTTTTGCGCGGACCCATTTGTCAGGATCGTGTCGGTGGCCCAGAAGATCATGCATGATCATGCCTTCACGATGACACCTGCCCCGCTGCAATCCCCTTCCCTTGATTATTGCATGTCGCTGCCTCGTAGGACGCGCTGACTGCGCTGGACACGGTCGACGTCGAGGCCGCAAGGCCAAAGAAGACGGTGGGGATTGTGGTGGTGTCGCGTGCTCAAGACTTGGGGGAAGGTTTTGTGTCTGGACAGTGACAACTATTTGACCCGCCCTCCCCAGAACCGTGTGGCGATTTGACGGGGATGCGTCAAGATGCGGTGCCGCAACCATGGTTACGGCACCGCAGGGAAAGTCGGGCTTCGGTACCTCAAGCCATGTTTACGACGCCCTTGGGGAGTGTCCGGCCACAATGGTTCACTTGGAAATTGTTTTTGTCCGTTTTCTGCCTTTGCTTGACGCAGGTGGGGTTAACAGGGCAGAGCGGGCAGCTGAGGGATTGCTTGTGTGGGCGGATCGGCGGAGCGATGCTGACCAGGATCGGGAAGCCTAGCAAGGGACCACCGCGGTCGGTCCAGTGAGTCATGCAGAACGGGTGGTCGAGTTCGGCCGCAGCGCACTCTCCTGTCCCGCGGCCCGACAACAAAAGTTACACTGTCTTCGTGACGACTGTTTTTCAGCTGCTCCGAAACTGGAGGGGGGGGGCGCGGCGACCCCAATCAGGGCTGGACCTAAACGCTGTGTTGCTGGACTTCGGCCGTGCTTTGTTCTTCGTCTTGGCAGGGAGGTACAGGACACCAGGTACAGTCGGCCCGGATTAATAGGTCGACCCTGCCAAGTCAAGGGTACCCTTGTGTCCTGTGCCTCGCGGCCCATGCCTCCTCGCATTCCTGTGGCAATGTGGGCCCCCGGAAGGGTCTCGTGTCCTCTCGCGTGTCCTCTCCAATCAGGTCCGACGGTAGAGCAAAACGAAGAGCACAGTGAAAACAAAACCAACAACATGTAGGTCCACACGGAACCCCGATCCCCGACACCGTCGGGCCTCTGCATCGGCCGCAGCAGCGCTGACTCCGTGCGGGGACGCGCAACGGGCGGAGGCCGATCCTCGACGGGGGTGCGTCGGAATGGCGCCCAGGGACTGTCACCCCCGAGTTGCCCTCCTCCTCCTCCTCCCTCCTCCCTCCTCCCTCCTCCCTCCTCCTCTCCTCCTCCTCCTCCTCCCCCTCCCCCTCCTCCTCCTCCTCCTCGCTCCTCCTCCTCCTCCTCCTCATCCTCCTTCCTCCTCCTCCTCCTCCTCCTCCTCCTCCTCCCCCTCCCCCTCCTCCTCCTTCTCCTCCTCCTCCTCCTCCCCCCTCCTCCCCCTCCTCCTCACCCTCCTCCCCTTCCTCCTCCTCCTCCTCCTCCTCCTCCTCCTCCTCCTCCTCCTCCTCCTCCTCCTCCTCCTCCTCCTCCTCCTCCTCCTCCTCCTCCTCCCCCCCTCATTCTCTGAACGGCAAGTTCCTGTGTGTTCTGCTCCTCCTCCTTGTCCTCCCCCTCCTCCTCCTCCTCCTCCTCCTCCTCCTCCTCCTCCTCCTCCTCCTCCTTCTCCTCCTCCTCCTCCTCCTCCTCCCCCCTCTTGCCAGTGGGGGCGTCTCTGGCCAACGCGCCTCGGAGTAAACTGCCAGCATGTAATGAGGGAAATGGGTTATATATGACAATTCCCTACCCCCCACCCCTTCATGGGGGCACCAAAATAAATGAGTGGTGCAGACTAATGGAGTTCAGCCGCTGGAAACTGTGTTAAATCGTCTGCCCCCCCGGCGTTTTGTTTTACCGCCTTGCGGAAACAGATTTTCTATTCGTCCTCTTGCGTTCGTTTGATCACCCGCGGCCGCGGGAGGAGGATTGCGGAGAGGGGGCACCGGAAGCGCCGCTAGGGAGTCCCAGCGCAGATCCAGGAAATCCACGGAGGACCGCCGAAAGTTTATGTTTTGTGCAGTTTTCCCATTCCCGACTTAAGAACCAACCTGAGGACGGCCCAACTGTCGTCCTAGTGGACGGCGGTTGGAGCTTAAAGGTGAGGCCAACGCTGCCGCGGGAGCAGCGTGTCGGAAGAACCGAACAAGTTCGGATTGAATAACAGATGTGAACAACACACTCCCCGAATCCTCTGTGAAAAAAACCCAGCACGCGGGAGGATTCGAACCAAGCGGAAGGTCGAGCATGAGACCAGCGTTACTGCGGGGACACAATTTGGAAGAGCCGAACACGCGTCGATCGAAAATCAAATATGAGAAACGGATTCGCGCCAAACCTGCGTGCAACTAACAGCATAATACGTGGAGGGGTGCAGGCAATCTTCTGGAGTGCATCAGGGGAGAGCGGGGAATAGCATTCATATTGAACAATTGTCGAGGAGCAGTAACTAGCAGGGAGAAGGTGGCACCTGTGCCGCTGGGTGCCTTTGTGGCGTCCCAGGAAAACAGGCGGGTTGGCAGCCCGATCGTCTCCACAGCTCGACGGGGCTGTGGGAGAGACTCTTGCCCTGTGGTTGGCCAGCCACAGTAGGTGCGGGCCCGCCGTACCACCCCTGGGAGGCCCGATGGGGTTACTCGAAGGGGTCCCCCGACGTGGGGGGCGCGGGAACTTAAGTCCTTGGGCAGCGGGGCCTCCGCTGCTTGAGGCCGGCGGCCAAGTGGGGGTGGTGCCGGTGGCCGTGTCTCGGGGTGGCATTTCGAGGCACCTCGCAACGGCGGCGCGGATAACGCCGGGGGCGGTCCGTGCCGCCGTTCGTGTTGCGAGGTCCGACTGCATGTGAATTCACGCAGGCACCTTGGGCACCTCCCTTCGGGTTGCGTCGCCCAGGTGTTCTGTCCGGGCACCAAAAAAAACAGGGAGAAGGTGACAAGGGATAGAAACGCAAGGGGGAGGAGGAGGAGGAGGAGGAGGAGGAGGAGGAGGAGGAGGAGGAGGAGGAGGAGGAGGAGGAGGGGGAGGAGAATAGGAAAAGGAGGTGGGGAAGGAGGTCGCTGTCTGAAGGCGGCGCAGAATCTTTGCCTTCCGCGCAGGACTGGCGGATCAGAATTTGTTTCTTCCCATTCAGGGCTGGCCAAGATCAACCTTCGCGGCCTCGAATTGTCCGCCCCTGCGGATTCGAATCGTCAGCCCGCGAAGTCCTTCCCAGCTTTTGCTTGCCCGGCTCTGAATTGAACCCCCCGCCCCCCCGCCCTGAATTGTCAGCCCGCGCCCCCCCCCCCGGGCCTCCAGACAACCCGCGATGCGATTGTCCGCCCTCTGCCTACCCCGTGACCCCGCTATTGCGGTGGCGCGAAGGCCCGCGAAACTGTTTGTTCATCGTCCGCCCCAGAAAGTTGTTGTAAATGCTTGCTTCCATTATCAAGCGGACACCGCTGTCGTCGTTGTAGTTGGGTTTTCACCAACTTGAGCGAACTGCGAAGCCCTCGCCAACCCAGGTGGATTGCGAGGAAAGCTCAGGCGAGAGCGCCATTCCTGACTCAGGGCACCTCTCTGGCCAAGGCGCCTCGCAGTGAATTGCAGGGAAGTGTCGAACGGGATCGGGCGAGAGCGCCGCTCTTGAGATCGGGGGGGTCTCTGGCCAACGCGCCTTGGAGTAAACTGAAAGGGGGCACCGAACGGAAGCCGTTGTCGTCGCAGTAGGCGGGCCTTCAACAATTTTATAGATTTGCGAGGGAATCTTTCGTGAGAGCGCTTTGGCGCGTCCGACCTGGGCGCGTGGTATCGTTGAAGTCGGGCCTTCCCCAGCCCAAGTGGACAGGAAGGCGAAGGCGAGGGCGCCAATCCTGAGACTGGGAGCAAGTTGCAAGAAAATATGGACCGTGACCCGTTCTCGTCTCAATTGGGCCTTCACCAGTTTGATTGACATGCGAGGAGGTGTCGAGCGATAGTGCATTCCCTGAGTCGGGGGCCCTCTCTGGGCATGGCTTTTCGGGGTAGGCTGTGAGGAAATATCGTTCGGGAATCATTGTCGTCGGAGTTGGGTTTTCAAGCCAGATCGGGAACCCAGGCCTCGCTCGAGCGGAAGTTTGTTTTGTTTTCACAGAGTATGCAGCCAGCGTCGAGGCGAGAACGCCCAGAACCATCTTCCATAGATAACAAGAAGTATAGTAGAAATGAACGATCGACGACTGCAGCGACGACGACGGAGCAACGCCGGCAGCGCTCTTGAAAAGGGAGGGCAGGCGCGACCACCGCCCAGCCTGGAGCAGGACTGCTTTCCCTGCAGCCCCTCTCGCGCAGCCCACCAGCACTCCGTTCAAATTCCCAGCTTGGCTCGTTGTCCACTCCCGTGGCGCCGACGGAGTCTTTAAGGGTATCCTCTCGTCCGTCATGCCCCATTCTTCGGACGCTCGTCTGTCGCTGTGCCTTCCTCTCGTCGCATTTTGTTTCCCATGCCTCGTCCTCCCCGGCCAAGCGCTGCACAGACAACGTCCAAGGGCCTGGCCCGCCCCGCGCCCGCGTCCCACCGTCGAGTGCCCTATCCATCAAGGGGGGAAAAGCCATCCGGACCAGACAATTGGCATCTACTAAACGGCCGTGGGCGTTTACTAAACAGCCTTGCCCTGTTTGATTTCTTCGTTGGGTGCGTTTACTGGACGGCTTCGCGTGTCGGGGTGGTTATTTAATCGCTTCGCTCATTCCGCCGGCCCTGGAGACATCTTTAGGGCCTCTTGGGGGCCTCTAGGGAGTCTCTTGGGGCTCTTTGGCGGTGTCTTGGGGGCCCTCAGGGCCTCTTGGGGGGCTCTTGTGGGCCTCTTGGAGCGGGAGGGGGGTTAGTCGATTGCGGCTCCCCCCATCGGAGGCCACGCTCCTCGTGAGGGGTGTTGAAAAATTGCCCGGTCCGGGGTCTCCTCCCGGGACTTGCCCGGGGTACTTTTCGCCTGGGGACCCCCAGGGGCAGCCCCGCGCGCGCGAACTAGAAATCGTGTTAACCAGTTACCGGAGATCTTAGCACGCCTCTGGCCCGTTGGGCCGGCGAATTATCGGGGTGGATCTTCTGCCTTCAAATCCACTCCCCCAGCCCATCGGGTCGGTCGGTGTTCGGCTGCGGGGTCGCCGTGGGCGACCTTGGACGCTTCTGGGGGTTCCTATACGTTCCCCCAACACCTGGGGTGTGGATAGGGAGCTCCGTCATGGAGGCAGCGCACGGTTGCGATAAAATGTCCAGTTGTTTGCGGCAAACCCCGCCACCGTGTTTGTGCAACAGCGCAGCAGGAAGGAGGTCGAGTTCACGCCCCGCTGTAATTCAGCGAGCGGTCTGACATCGACCTCGTCTTCGTTTGCGCGGTAGGGAGGAGGAGGAGGAGGAGACATGAGGAGGAGACAGGGAGAGGAGGAGGAGGAGGAGGAGGAGGAGGAGGAGGAGGAGCGAAAAGAGGGGGAGAACATGAGAACAGGGAGGGTAAGGCCTCTTGGGGCCTTTGGGGGACTCCTTGAAGCCTCCAGAGGGCTTCTTGGGAGGCTTGTGTGGGCTTCCAGCAGGCTCTCGAGTGTTTCTCACGGCATATTGGGCCGTCTTTGAAGATATTTGGCCCGCCTGACGCCCCCGGAGGCCGTCTTGGGGCCCTCTCTGGGCCGTCTTGGTGCCCGTTTGGAGGGTTTTAGTGCCGTCTTGGTGTTATATTGGGAGCCGCCTGGGTGGTCTTAGGGTCCTGTTGGGCCGACTTGTGGCCCTATTGAGGACCTCTTGGGCTGTCTTTGAAATTTTTTGGAGGCGTATTGGTTCGTCTTGGGAGTTCGGACACCCAAACAGGCGAGAGCTTCAAAACCATCAGCAACTGGACGTTCGATTAAAAAAGAATTTGGTCGCTGGCGCAGCCCCTCTTCCGTCTTGCGTCTTTCTCTCCTCTTGCCTCTCGCTCGAGGCGCCTAGCAGAGTCATTTGTTTTCTGGAATGGGCGGGCGGGGCCATAGCTCGGCCCGCGAGGCGGCGGCCAGGATGCGGCCGCTCCACGCCTTGAAATACAGCGTCGTCACGGCCATGCTCGCGATGCTGACCTGGCTGGGCGCGTTCCTTGGAGTTGGCTTCTACGCTAGCTTTACGTCGACGGCCATCTATCGTGGTCCAGAGGACGGCCACGCCCGAGCCGATCGCGGTGAAGGTAGCCGCGCGGAGGAGAGCAGTGAAGACACCTGGAGTGCCGACCAGGACGGCCCGGAGGGCTGCGCTGCCGAAGGCGAGGAGACGCCGCTAGCCTCCACAGGTCCGGACGCACAGCTTGTGGGACCTGAGGAGGCAGCGACCCCCGCCCTGGATGGGGCCCCCGGCAACGGATCCGCCACCAGCCATGACCGACCAGGGCGGGCGTCCAGGAGGTCCCAGCGGATCGGCAGACGCCCTGATTTCGGCGCTGGTCTTGGGCAAGTGCCATGAGTACGTGGACTTCTGGTACTACTGCTACAGCTACTATTCGGACAGCGCCCAGCAGGTGCCGCGGACGGCCTCGCGGAGCGGCGACTTCGAGCGCGCGTCAGCAGCGCCGTCTGGGTCTCCAGAGGAGGTGCCCGCCAGCCCTGGCGGGCAGGTCGAGGAGGAGCCATGCAAGCAGCAGGCCCCCGCAACCCTGGCCCAATCCCTGTTGATCGACGAGTAGCCAGATAAGGTATCCAGGAGGCTTTGGCGCCAACCAGATGCGGTCTGGCTGCGTTGGGCGACGGGCTGAAACCGCCCTTGCGAACCGCTGGAGATAGGGGTGGCTGGCACTGCTGAGGGACGTGCAGGAACACCGAGGGCTGCTGGCATGGCCCACTCTGCGATGAAAAGGGAGGGCTCCAGGAGGCGAGGGGCCGCTCCAGGAGCCACGCCGCCACCGGGCGAGGCAGAGCAGGGCCGTGCGAGGCGCGCGGGGGCGCTGGGCGACGAGGAGACGTGGGGCGCGCGAGCGGCGGAGGGCCGCAGGCTGCTTGGTGCGCCCTATGGCGGGGAAGAGCCCCAACCGCTCGGAGAGCCCGAGGACGCCTCGGCCGCAGGAGGTTCGCGGGGCGCCGGCGCCGAGCACCGCGCGCGCGCGGGGAAAACAGCCGCGCCGCTTGCCGAACTGCGTTTGCCTGGAGCATGGTGGCCCCGCGTCGCAGCGGCGCCCGGGCTACTGCTGCCCGCGGGGCGCAGGCGAGGATTGGGCGATGGGTGGCGCGAGCCATTATCAGGGTCATGGCGAGAAGGCGCCCCGCGGCCAGGAGTTATAGGGCGGCGTCGGAACTCCCCGGATGGGGGGAGGGCGCCAGCGCGAGGATAATAAGCAGAGACAAGACCCTCCTCCCAAGAAGCCGAGGCCGACACCGTCGCCCAGCGGCCTGCGCCCGAGGGCGGAGGCGCCCTCCCTAACTGGCTAGCAGGGGGCAAACCGGGCAGCAGCAGCCTCAGCGGCGAGCGCCCGCCCCCGTCGCCCGAGTCGCTGGCGCGCCGCAGGCGGGAGGAGGACGGGGCAGGGCGCGAGGAGGCCGCTCGGCGGAAGACGAGAAAAAACGCGCCGTAGATCAGGCCGAGGGCGAGGCAGCTTCCGGCGGTGGCGAAGGAGGAGCCGGAGTCCGACGATGAGTTGCTGAGGCGCATCGGCCGTGCAGCAGTGGGGCGCACGTGCCAGGACTCAGCGCGCCGCGCGCAGGCTCGCTCCACGGGGGGCGGGGGCGCTGCGTCGGGCGCGGGCTTCGGAGCGCCAGAGCGGTCGGAAGCAGGGGGGGGCCTGACCAGGTCCCCGTCGGCTGAGGGCCGGCGCGAGCGCGAGGCCCACTCCGCGCCGCCGCGCTCCAACGGGGGCGCCGTGGCCCAGCCGACGCGGAGAGAACGGAAGCCACTCCCGATGCCAGGCCCTCAAAGGGAAGCCGGGGGCTTCGGCTGTCCGGCGCACATTGCGCCCGCGTCAGAGGGCGAGAGCGAGGGAGTTGCATTCCCTTCCGAGGAGGAGAGCAGGAGCCCGACGGAGGCAGAGGAGGAGCGGGAGGGCTCGGGGGCTCCTGCCCGACCCGCGCGCGAGGACTGCGGATGGAGAGGCAGCCCGGGCAGCGGCCCTCCGAGAGCGCGGTCGCGGGCTAACGCGCGAGGCGAGCCGAGCCAAGGAGTGGCGACGGGTCGAGGCGCGCTGGCTGGGCGCCCGCCCGGGGCCGCGCGGCCCTAGGCATTGCGAGCGTGCCAGAGCAGCAGCGTCGAGCCGGGCTCGCAGGAAGGCGAGACCAGGGGCCGCGTCGATTCAGGAGCGGCCCCCCGCTACTTGGAGGAGACAAGGAGCTCGAAGAGCGACAGTGCGATAGCGCCCAGCATCCTGTCGCGCACCTTCAGGCACTAGCCGGGGAGGGCGAGGGGGAGAGCAGGGGGGCGGTTCTCTGGAGCAGAGGGAGGCGCAGCCCCTCTTCGGTCCTCCGCCCGTGTCATCTCTTGCCGCGCCCGCTGCATTTCTCGCTCGAGGCACCTAGCGAGGCCATTTGCGTCTTGGGGGCGCACCCGCCCGCTTTAAGAATGAAGCGGTGAATGGGGCCCCGGCCGAGTCGGCTCGGCGAGCCTTCGCGGCCGGGCTCGCGCGCTTGCCGCATTGCGGCAGGCGCGGCGCTCGCCCCTCCACAGTGGGCGGCGGGGCATCGCCCCGGCGCAGAGGCGGAGGGCCTCGCGCGGGGCGGGCGAGTTCGCGCCCGCGCAGAGGGCGCCCAGTGGCACGTGAGAAGCGGAACTCCTCAGTATCATCCTCAGCATCGCCCTCCGCCGTCTTGGACGCCCCCAGAAAGCAAATTCTGAGGGGAGGGGGCGTCTGAGCGGGGGCTTGCGGCGATGGGGGGGGGGGGGGGCTAGAGAACATTCGAACGGAAAGAGGGGGGTGCGATGCGCGAGCGACGACATTCTTGGCGGGGCGGGGCGAAGCCTTCTCTTGGGACGGGGCCCCAGGGGAGGGGCGAAGCGCGATCAGGCGGGCGTAGCGCCCCCCCCCTAAGATTTGCCCAAAGGGGCAACTTCAAAGGCGGCCAGTAGGTTTCAAGACGGCCCCAAAGAGGTCCAGGAAACTGTGAGACGGCCCAAGGGCGCTCCAAGAGAGGTAAAGACCTCCCAAGAGCTTTCCAAGATGGCCTCAAAACAATCCAAGAGGGCACGGAGACGGCCCAAAGGGGCCTAACGAAGATTCACGAAAGTGCTTCGGGAGGCCGAGCGCACTGATCTTCCAGACGTATTTGATGGTTTGTAGGTTCTCGTCTCTTCGGGCTCCCGACGGGCCAAGATGGCCCAGGACGCGTCAGAATTCGCCCAAAGACAGCCCAACAGGTTCCGAAGAGGGCCCTAAGACGGCTCACGAGGGCACAATACCAATGCGGTCCCAAGGCGGCCCAAGAAAACCCCAAGACGACCCAGGAGCGCCCAAAGAGACCCCTTGCGAGCCCCAAGAGGGCCCCAAGAGGACCGAGAACCCCAAAAAGCGGCCGAAGCCCCCCAAGACCCCAAGATGGCCCAGAAAAGGACGGCCTAAGTTTTTCCCAAGATCCCTCTCGCTTCGCGGGGTGCACGTCCGGAGCGCGTGCAGTCACGTCGTCGCGGGGCCTCTTGGGGGCCTCTTGGGGGCCTCCTGGAGGCCTCCTGGGAGTTTCATGTGGCATCTTGGGGACTTATCTGGGGCCTTTCCCCCCCCCTCCTTTTCACGCACTGTCCCCGTCTTCCCTTCCAGCGCCGGCTCTCATCATGGGCGCCGCAGCGACCAATCTCCACTTGGCTGGCGCTGCGCCGCAGTTCGCCCACAGGTGAGAAAATAACATTACACTCCAGTCGCTGCGTGGCCTTTGGGGGGCTTGTTGAAGCCTTTTGGAGGCTTCTGGGGGACTTCTTGGAGGCTTCTTGGGGGCCTCTTGGGGCCTCTTGGGGGCGTCTTGGGCCGTCTTGGGGCGCTTTTGCGTCGTTTCGCCCCCTCGGAGGCTGTCTGTTTTTGGGGCTTCCCGCGGCCGCATTGGAGCCCTCTTGGGGTCCTCTTGGGCCGTTTTCGCGGCCTCTTGGACCGTCTTGGGGGCCTCTTTAGGCCGTTTTGGGGCCCTCTTGGGCCGTCTTGGGGCCCTCATGGGTTTTTTTTGGGTTCTTTTGGGGCGATTTTGGGGTTCATGGATTTTTGCGAGTCGAAAAGGCGAGAAAGTTAAAATATTTGAAAAACCATAGGCGAATCAATGATTTCGGCCTTTGGAGGCGCAGTTGTGGGCGCTCTTGGGGCCTTTTCGGGCCGTCCTTGGAGCTTTTCGGGCCCTTTTGGGGCCGTTTTGGGGGCCTCATGGGCCCCCGATGGGAATATCTTGGGCCCCGTCTTGGGGCCATGTTGGGCCATCTCGAGGCCCTTCTTGGAGTCCCCAGAGGCCCAAGAGGCCGTGTTTAGGTTTGGGGCCTTGGAAGGAGGGCCGATCATTTACCCCAAGACGGCCCAGAAAGGGACGGCCCAAGTTTTTCCCAAGATTCACTGGCTTACGCCGCACCGCCGGCCCCTGCACGGGCGGCAGCAATCGTCCCCCTGCGTGGCCTGTCCGGACAGCCTGTGAGGCCCCTCTAGACACGTTTTGGAGCTCTCTTAGGACCGTCCTGCCGTTCCCCCGGGCCGTTGCTATGGTTTCTGGGGCCTCCGTGGGGCGCCTGGAGGCCGTCGTGGAGCCTTTTGGAGAGTCTCTCGGGGTGCCAAAGGTGGAGGTTTACTGGGCCGTTGTGGGCCTCGTGGAAGCCCAATAAGTGAACATGCTGAACATATGCGTTTTCCCTAAGGAATGGGACGGTTCTTGCTTCCGGAGGCTTGTTTGGAGCGCCTCGTGGTCACGATGTCTCACGTTTTTGGACGCCCATGACGCTTGGCGATATTGGGCGGTTTGGACCGAATCGTCCCTCGCGTGGGCCGTCTGGACAGCTTTTGGGAACCCTCCTGCCCCGTTTTGGAACACTCTTGGGACCGTCCCGCGGCTTTCCGAAGCCTTTGCTATGATTTTTGGGGCCTTCGTGGATCGCCCGGAAGCCGTCTTGGAACCTTCTTGGGAGCCTCTGCGGGTGACAGGGGTCGAAATTGGAGGTCTACTGGGCCGTTGCAGGCCTCGTGAAAGCTCAAGCGTTTCCAAACGTCTTGGGCGCCCATGGTGCTATTTGGCGGCGATATTGGGCGGTTTGGATTGAATCGTCCCTCGCGTGGGCCGTCCGGACAGCCTTTGGGGGCCCTTTTGCCCCGTTTTGGAGCTCTCTTGGGACCGTCCTGCAGCCTGCGGCTTTCCTAAGCCGTTGCTATGGATTCTGGGGCCTTCGTGGATCGCCCGGATGCCGTCTTGGAGCCTTTTTAGTCGCCTCTTGGGTTGGCGAGGGTCGAGCTTTGAGGCTTCTTGGGCCGTTTGGCGCCGCGTGGATGCCGAGTGGGCGAGTGTGGTGAACATCTACGTTTTCCCCAGTGAATGGGACGAATTTTGCTTCTGGAGGACCTCTTTTGGGCGCCTCGCAATATTGTTTCAAACGTCTTGGGGACTTATGGAGCTGGGTGGAGGCAATCTCCGACGTTTTGGGACGATCTCTCGTCGATTCGTAGCTCTCTTGGACCGTTCCGGGAACCTATGGACCCTTTTTGGTCCGTTTCGGGGCCTCTTGAGACTCCAAGTGTGCGGATGATGGATCCCCCCCCCTCCAAACCGGCCAGGCTAGGCCCCCGGGAGAGGGGTTTGGGGAGGGGGAAGCATCTCACCCCAAGAGGTCGGCGGACTGCCTGGTGGGGCCTCCAGACGACCCGAAGAAGGCTCAGGGAGGCCCAAACCGTGGGATTATTATTTTATCTTGCAACACGTTTGTAACACCAAGGCTCCTCAGTACGGACGATGGTGTAAGCCTTCGTGCTCCACGAGGGCACGGTGACGGACACAGTTTTGCCGCCAAGGCCCCCGCCCCCAGACGTCCCAGTGACAAAGACAGCTTTGACGTCAAGGTTCCCAAGAGCTCCAGGTGACGGAATTTCCCTTTCAAGGCGTGTCGGTGAAGTAAGAATCGTGCAATGTCAAGGCTCCCAGGAGCTCTCGATGGATGACGTGAGAAGCTCTTACCTAGTGCGAGCGATTACGTGGAGCGTTCTTATCACAAAGGCTCCAAGAAACTCACAGTGACACGACACGCTCGCAACACCGGGGTTCCACAGAGTGAGCCGCGCCATGACATCCGGGCAAGCTTCTGTACCCCTCTGCCCGTTCCTGTGCCGGCCCAGGGTCTAACGCCCCCACTCCGCCCAGGCACGGTGGCGGATCAGCGGTCAGGGTGATGTTTTGGGTCGGTACTCGTATTCCTCCACGCCTCGGGGGTTACTAAAGGCGCCCTGGGCCCAGGGTGCCCCCCGCCTTTCGCTCCATGTGGAGGGCCCTCTGGGACCTCGTGAGGGATGCTCTGGAGGCCGCGGGGGCCTCCCTTGGACATCCCGAGGGCACCCTCGGCCAAGGGCACTTCTGGCACCACGCGAGCGTCCTCCTCCCCAGACCCTCGACGTCAGGATTGTTTCATGGCGTCGACCCCCAGAGGTCTCGACCCATTCCCCAGGACCACCTTGTCATCCTGAGTAGTGTTTTGACGGCCCCGAGGCCTGGTACTCTGAGTACTCTGACTACCTCAATAGTTCTGGGGTGATCATCTGGGGGGGGGGCCGTGTAGTCCGGGGGGGTACCCTGTAGTCCAGGGCGCGGTTCCGGGGAGGCGCCTTGTAGTCAAGAGGGGGGGCCCTGTAGTCCGGGGGGGGGGACAACGCAGACAGTGCGTTTTGCGCAAGCGCGCAATCCCGTCGGCAAGCAACGCGGCGCTCCCGCTGCTGCAACGCGCGCGCGTACGAGGAGCCCTTCTCCGAGACAACGGCCCCGACATCCGTCATTGGCAACCCGCAGCACCTCCTGTGTTGGGCGGGGGTGACTGTAGTCTGGGGGGGGGTCCTTGTAGTCCTGGGATGGGTCCCTGCAGTCCAGGAGGGGCCCTTGTTGTAGTCGGGGGGGGGCCTTCATAGTCAGGGGATGCGTCCCTGTAGTCCAGAGGGCGGGCCCCCAGAGGCCGCAAGTGGAGACCAGAACCGCCCGCCCCGATTCTTGGCTCGTGGCCCGAGGGGGGGTCTTGGGCCCATCGACCGCCCACCAGCCCCCCCCTCCGGCGCGGGAGATCGCCGGGCGGGCCCTCGGCACGAGCAGCCGCCGGGCTCGTATCGGCCGCAGGGGCCCCCCGCGCCGCGCGGCGGCATGGCCCCCGCGCGCCGCCGGCCCCGGGCGCGGCTGCGCCTGCTGGCGCTGGCGCAGCGGGCGCGGCGGGCCCTCGCGCAGGCGCGTCTCCGCCCCGGGCCTCGAGCGGCCGCTCGCGGCCCCTCGCGCTTGGAGAGGAGGGGCGGAGGGGGAGAGGGCCCTAGTGGCCTTCTCCTCTTGCAGGGGGGGCCGCTCGCGGCCCCCTCGCGCCGTGCCAAAATCATGCCGCGGAAAAAAAAAAAGGCGTGGTTCGCGGCCTCGCGGGGCCCTCGCCGTCGCAATCGCTGGATTCGCCTCGAAGTTTGGTCAGAACGAGCTCCGGGAGAGGTCCGCGGAGTAGCGGTATCGGTACCGCTTGGTTTCTCTAGAGGAAGCGTCGACCAACAAATAAGCATTATTAACCCACCTGCGGCCCTCCAGATGGAGCGTTCCAAGATGGGTCTCGCCTTCGAGGGTCGAAGGAGCTGGCATCTCTTCCTCGGCGGAAGACGACGGAAGGCGGCGGAAGTAAAGCGAGGTCGCCTCCGCCGGCGGAAGAGCCGGCGCATGGCTGGCGGAAGGCGGCGGAAGTAAAAATAAAGCCTCGGCGGCTCAAGGACGTCGCTTGCTCGGGCGCGCGTGGGGTCGCAACTCCCCACCAGGCAGACTCACAGCATTCCCCCAGCCATGGCGTTGCCTGCTGCTGCATGAGGGAGTCGGCTGGGGAGAACGACACCGACGCCTGCGAGGTGAGCGCTGCTCGGCTGCCCGACCGAGCTGAACCGCATTTTCCAGACATTGACGTCAGGTACGGCTGCGGGAGCCAGGGCGTATGGGGAACAAGCGAGCCCATCGACGTGCACTAAGGCTGGTGGCACTGACAGGAGCCTGCTGGTACAAAGGTCAGCATTGGACTCGCTCCTCGATAGCCGTGCTTGCCACTAGCGGCGTGTGTCATGAACCCCATGTCGACCCCTCGCCCTCGGCCCCGTCGGGCCTTGGAAAGTTGCGGAAAAAACGTTCAAAACAACTACTGAAGATTTGGAGCTACAACACGGAGTCCTTGGTGATCATGGACCGTTTTGGGGAGATCTTACGGTTAGCGCGGGATCGGGAAGTAGCAGTGTGCTGTTTTCAGAGTACCCTCATGTCCCTGAACATCGCGTGGCATTGTGAAGGATTTCGCATACTTCCTACACCTAGGACGTCCCCCAAGGCCAAAGACGGGTGCCTCATAGCTGTCAACAAGCGGTTCTTCGGGATGGATGAAATACGATGTGTTCATGAGTGGGTCCCTGGACGTCTTCAGGGTGTTCGCTTACGTAGGGCTGGCCGTCGACCCCGAGACCTCTACGTCCTCAACGGGTACTCCTGGACCAACGAGCCCCCCAGAGCGCCCCAGGGCCAGACCACTGAAGTGAATGAAAAACACTGGAAGTCCCAGGATGCGTTTTGGCAACAGTGCGAAGACACCATCTCGAGGATCCCCGGCCGCTCAGCCCTGGTTTGGTGCTTAGATGCCAACGCATCAGTGGCCCCATCACCTCCTAACACAGGCTTCGCAGGCTCTCGGAGGTCCCTCAGCAGGACGAACCAGAATGGCCACAAGTTCCTGTCGGTACTCCAGAACCAAGGATTGGCAGCCCTCAACACTTTCGGCAAGGCCTCTCGCTTCAACTCCACGTGGGTCCACACGGACGGGGTGAGCTGGTCAACGATTGACTACGTGTGCGTGCGTCTTCAGGGAGGCTACGGCCGCGCGAGCCGGCCGCTCATTGACCTCCCAGTGAGCTTGGGAGGCTACCGGGATCATCGACCTGTGGAGGCAACGATATATGCTGGACTACGGTGCAAGCTACAACGCCCTCCTTCAGAGCTTCGCTGGAATAGGGACCTCATCATGACAGACCTCAAGAACCTGCAGAGGGCCCAGCAGCAGGAGAGCTCCATGATCCCCGAACGGGTCTCACAGTTGTGTGGCGCAGTAGATCGGCATCTTCGTGAGCGACGTCTTCGGGGAGAGTGGCAACATGTGTGTGGTCCTGGCCAGGCGTATGGCACGACGTCTGAGTACTTCGATGCCCTCGAGGGCGCTATCGTTGACGCAGCGGTGGACATCTATACCACGCTGCCCACCAAGCAGGCGGCCCCCGCCTTTCCTGATGAGACGTGGGAGCTTATCGCTAAGAAGCAGCTCTACCAACGCATGCTCGCCAAGGCTGTCCTGGGGAGTTGGCTACACAAGACACTGACGAGCCAGCACAAGCACTTCATGCGGTTGGCGAAGAAAGCAGTCCGAGCCTTTCGCAGACAACGAACAGCAGAGCTAGTTGACCAAGCTGAGCAGGCGGACCATCACAACGACATCAGGAAGGGCTACGCTATTATTAGAAGTATCGCTCCGAAGCCCACGGCTCCATCTATGACGGTCCACAATCCTGCTACTGGGACGGTATGCTTTGACCACGAGGAGGACATGGAAGTACGAGCCCGAGCCCTGTGTACCATTTTTCAGGCGGAAGATGTCACGGAGTCTGCGCCGCAGCGGCCTCCACGCCACGGCATGGGCGTCTTGGACGACCCCTCGGAGGCCATCACCGTCGAGAACACGATAGAAGCAGTCAGAAAACTACCCAACCATAAGGCGGCCCCCGTCTTGAAGTGGAGCGATCCTGGGAGTGCGTTGTCACCGATGCCGAGACCACAATCAGACGGGGCGGTAGCAGAAATATGGAAGCTTTGCCTCGACTACGTCGCTGAGCCCTTGACCCAAGTTTTCCAGGCTTGCCACCAATTGAAGCAGGTTGCCCAGAGATTCAAAGATGGAGAAACGGTATCGCTTCGCAAACCCAAAGGTGACGGTCGTAACGCTCAAGATCATTATCGAACGATCAATTTGATTAACCACATGGGGAAAGCATTCATTAATGTAGCATGCATGGGCGATTTACGTAAGTGCGCTGGCCGATTATCTACTACCCAATTTGGTGCATTACCACAGCGATCAACACGAGACGCAGTGGTTATTGTGGATGAGATTATTCGCCGTTTCAGGGTGTGCCGAAGTCGCACCAACCTCCCTGCGCTGATCTTGGTCGCTGCTCTTGTCGACTTGGAAAAAGCATTTGATTTGTTACCCAGGGACAAGGTTTGGGAATCGCTGGACAGGCTGGCCGTTTCGAAGGGCGTCCGATGAACACTCGAGGCCCTACACGAAGGGACACGTTACATTTTGCGAGATGTAAAAACAAACAGGCCGTGCAGAACACTCCTGATCCGTCGTGGGGTTCGTCAGGGAAGTGTCGAAGGGCCGCTCCTCTTCATTGCCATCTATGATTTCATTACCCAGGAGATTGCTTCCCAGCAGGTCGTTCAGGGCTTCGAGGGGGTCACCGTGATTTCAGACCCCAACTTCGAAAGGTACAGGGGCAGGGACATCTTAGAATTAGAGGTGAATGCCGAGTTAGACGTGTCTCAGGTCAAGTTCGTCGACGATCTCACAGGTCTGGCCGTTTTTGAGAATTATGATCGGATTGCCGAGTATCTCCAGTTCCTGTTCCGAATGATCAACGAGGGGGGCATGAAGATGAATGTACCGAAACTCGAACTCATGATGATGTCTTCGGGAACGGGGTGCAAGAAAATCCGAAGGGAAATCAACGCCAAAAGTACGGGGATCCAGATGATTGACTACGAGGGTCGCTCAGTGAAAATACATGCCCAAAGGTCCGTCAAATACCTGGGGGTCAGGATCAGGGACGACAGCTCGATGGGGGAAGAACTACAACAACGCTTGAAAGGAGCCAATGTGGTGCACGGCAGGCTATCCCATAAAGTATTTAAAGGACACCTTAGCTACCGACTTAAAATACGGCTTTGGAGTTCACTTGTTCGGTCCATCGCTTTGCGCGCTATGGAGATCGCGGTGCTTACCCAGTCGGAGCTCCAAAAACTAGAACGCTGGCAAAACAAAAGACTTCGACACCTGCTTCGTTCTCCCGCTCATGTCAAGCACGTCCCCAATGAGGCGATCCGTCGCAAGGCTAATATCCATTCGGTCTCGTCAACGTTGCTCTTCCGCAGGCTGAGGTGGTGGCAGAGAGTGATTACCCCAGGGCTGGCTCCAGAGGCTCCTGAGTATGATCCCACGTACGCGGTCAGGGCCGTGATTTTCGGGCGCCTGAGTTTCGAGAAGAGGGTGAACTCCAGCAAAACCGTGGGAAGGGTGGCCCAACTGGGCCAGGACCTCACTTCGCTTTGGTCGTCGCTCTCAGCTGGTATTCGGGAAGGTGCCCCTGGACCCGAACCTGAAGTGTCTAAACCTTGGCTACGGTGGTTCTGTGAACTATCCTTGGCTGACCTTCGATTGGCGTTGTCTTTCCAGGCCACGAGCGACCCCACGCCTGCTGGAGGGGAGCGGGCCGATGGAACGCAGTATGAGATGCTTCAGTGTCCAGAGTGCGGTCACTTGTGCAGGGGCCCGAAGGGCCTCGATAGCCACAGACGTCAAGCCCATGGGATAGTCGCTAATCGACTTGATCTTCCTCCAGATTGTTTGAAAAATAAGACATGCCCGTATTGCCAACAGGTTTTCACCAGAAAGGATACGCTCCAACGCCACATCAGTGCTAAGAGATGCCCTATGCTGCAGGCATCTGCGGCTCCAAACGCCCATCCAGCCCCCCCGCCAGTCCCAGCAGCAGAGGGTCGTAGTGATGTTCACCCCGCTGGCGGAGATTCGGGCCAAGAGGCCCGCCGAGCCGGTGGGCGGGGCCGCGGCAGGGGCGGTAGAGGAGCCCGAGGCAGGCGCGGCCGCGGCGGTGCTCCCACAGTTGACGATGGCGATGGCCCAGCTGGTGTTGCAACACGAGGACAACCTTCGCAACCAGAGCAGGGACGTGAACATCGTGCTCACCAATCGCGCCGACTCCAAAGTCCAGATGGCCTTGGAAGCGGGAGTGGACGAGTACAATGCCGTGGGCAAGAAGGAGAGGGAGAAGGAGGACGAGTTCAAGGGCCACCCATGGGGCAAGCGCCCCGACGCACAGATGAAGATGGTGTTGTACCGCATAACAGAAGCACTGCAAGCCAACGAGGCCGCGGTGGAGGCGGCGATCCAGCAGGGGCCCGACCCTGGTGCGACGAAGCAGGCCGTGAAGTGCATCGCGGAGTGGAGCACCAGAGCCCAGGACACGACGAAGATCTTCCACGCCACCAGGTGCTTCATGGTGACGACGCAGGACACCGCGAATCACGAGGTGAAGAAGTGGATCTTCGCAATCTGCCACCACCCGGAGCTCCAGCAGGCATTCATGCAGTTGCGGGACAACGGAGGCGCCCTCGCAGCAGGGCTGCTGCTGGAGCGCGACACGGCGCCGCGGAGCAAGGCGGCGAAGACCGTCGAGAGGCTCGCGTTCAAGGCGGGCAAGCAGGGCAAGACCAAGGGCAAGGGCAGCAAGCGCCAGAGGCACTGAGGAGGAGGAGGGAGGGCTCTAGGAGCAGTAGCTGCAATCAAACTTTTTTGAGTCAATTTTTTCGCTCATCTAGAGGGGGTGGCACATAGCGGTTTTGCTGGGGGTTCCCGTGGGCTCTAGTTGTGGCCTGCGGCCCTCCTGGGCCTAGAGGGGCTTGGGGGGCCGACCTCGCAGTGCCACCCCCTCAGAGGATGGGGTGCGCGAGGTTGGGATCGAGGCGTCTCGCTGGGGCTCAGTGTCTCGGGTTTCGGTCCCGCCTTGTGCATTTCAAGGGCTCCGATCGATCATCGATTGCGCCGATGTTTTGCACTCGTTTGTAAGCCTCGGTAAACAGTGTTACTAGCCCAACACTAGGCCTCCAGAGCTGTGGACGAGTGGGGGCAGTGGCTTGAAAGGAAGTAAAAATAGGACCCCCAGGGATGAACACGTTTTTGGGTTCAGGGTTTCGCTACGGCCCATCGGGCGCCGTGGCGCACACCACGCAGAAGCCCAAGCCGAAATTCGTGGTGTATGCTCGAGGCCCGTGGGGCCGCAGGGGGTGTCGCGCTGAAAGGAGGAAGCGGTACGGATACCGTTACCCTTCGACTACACGTAAGAGTGACCCTTCGCTGGAGTCACCTTCGGTGCGGGCTCATCGGGGCCCTCCCGATCGCTGAGCGCGATGCGATAGCAGCGGCCTGCGCGCTTGGGCTTGGCCCCCTCGAGTCGCCCACAAGAATCAGGAGGGGAAAAAACACACAGACACAATTCTTTACGCTTCGCGTATCCCCACCAGCCCATCTCACAGCAGCAACTCTTGCGAAGCATGCCGACAGTCGTGTTTTTCAGGCGTGTGTCCGCTTGGCCCCGCATATCTCCCCTGTTCCTCCTTCCTCCCGCCTCCTTGTACATCCTCCTTGTGGGGGGAGCGGGAGAAGGACGAGGCGGAGGAGGAGGGAGAGAAAACGCTCCTCGTGATTTGAGTCGTTTGGGGTTTCTCGTCCTGGTGTGAGTCGTTCGGGCCCTTCTTCCTGGTGTGAGTCGTTCGGGCTCTTCGTGGTGTGAGTCGTTCGGGCTCTTCGTCCTGGTGTGAGTCGTTCGGGCTTCTCGTGGTGTGAGTTGTTCGGGCCCCTCATCCTGGTGTGAGTCGTTCGGGCCCCTCCTCCTGGTGTGAGTCGTTCGGGGCCCGCGTCGTGGTGTGAGTCGTTCGGGCTCCTCGTGGTGTGAGTCGTTCGGGCGCCTCGTCCTGGTGTGAGTCGTTCGGGCCCCTCCTTGTGGTGTAAGTCGTTCGGGCTCTTCGTGGTGTGAGTCGTTCGGGCCCCTCGTCCTGGTGTGAGTCGTTCGGGCTCCTCGTGGGGCCTCTTGGGGGCGTCTTGGAGCCTCTTGGGGCCTCTTGGGGGCATCTTGGGGGCCTGTGGGGAGCCTCTTGGGAGCCTCTTGGGTCCTCTTGAGGCCTCTTGGGAGCCTCTGGGGAGGCTCTTGGGGGCCTCTTGGGACCGCTTGGGGACCTCTGGGGGGCCTCTGGGAGGCCTCTGGGGAGCCTCCTGGGGGCCTCTGGGGTCCATCTTGGGGCCTCTTGCGACCTCCTCAGAAGCGCAAAGGAACGCTGCCCCCTGAAAAGAACAAATTAAGACCAAAACCTTAGTAAACTCAATGATTCTGCTATGAGGGAAGATGAGCGCGGCCCCCTCAGGACGCCAAAATGGGGCCAAAAACCGTAGTAAAATCAATGATTTCTGCTTCAAAGACGAGCAGAGGGGCCAAACTCCCTCCCCCCCTCGGGGCCAGAATCCTCGTGAGGGTCGTCGTTTTCTGGCCCTCCCGGGAATCGAAAAAGGCCCCCCTGACCCCACCCCGGACTCCCTGTCCAGGTCCAGGGGGAGGGGGTAGGGGGAGGGGTAAACCCCTTCCCGAAGGGGAAGAAGGGGGTTGAGGACAGAGCGGGCTCTCTAAACCACTCACGCCCAAAGGGCTCCCAAAGGGCTGGTGGGATTAATCGTCGACTCCCGGGAAAATATATAATAATATGGGACGTGGGGGGGAAGATAAAAATCCACAAAATGTAGGAAGATATAGGGAATAGGTTTATTTGTGTGTATTTATTTGTGTGTCCTGGGGCCCCTTCAAAGAAACGCTCATGAAGGGTCACTCCTACCCAGGGTCACTCTTAACGTCTAGCCTGTGCCCCTGCCTGTTGTTTTTCTTGTTTGGGGGCCGCCTGGGAAGCCCTCGCCTCCACCGCGGATGTAGCCGCGAAGTGTTTGTCCCAACGTACCCCGGGAGACGCTGCCCCGTCGTCCTCTTGCACTCTGGGAATATCTGTGTCGGAACTCTCCCTGTATTGCTTTTCGATTGCTCTTAGACATTACCGCCATCGTCAAAGTTTCTCCCAACCCTTTATTGGCCAACCTTAGGGTGCATGCGGTCGTGCGTGCCCTGCCTGTCTCACCAGTCCTTCATTCAACTGCAGTCTGAATCTCGCGCAATGGCGGCCCCGATGTGGTGCCTTCGCGCTCGCCTCACACTAAAGAAGCACCGTCCAGTTAGTGGAGGGAGCGCCCAGACTGCATTTATACGTAAATGTGCACACGAAAATATGCCTGTGATGCATATGTATGTATATCTAGATGTGTGAAAGTACACGTACATGTTTGAATACACATACAGACGGATGCTCAGACATATCTACATACAGAAAAGTAATTGATTCATAATAGACATGTGTCGACATGTGTGTATACAC